AATTTTGAAGGAAAAAAGGGAGTTGAACAGCTTCTACAATTTCAAGCTATAATCTTATATAATATATAATAATCTTATAGTATACTATTTATACTATCCCATGAACTATTTTCCTACAATAAAGAAAGCATAAGCTACAAGTTTCCATTCTAAAAAGTAAAAGGTAACTCAGGTTTAATAGTAAATATCATCCAAGAATCAATGTCCTACAAATTCAGAAAACCCTCAGGTAGAAATTAAGTACCAATTTCCTCTAGAAATTCCATGTTTGCTCCTGCCCCCTTTCAAAACACAAACCATAACTCTTCCTTCTCTATAGTATATTCATTCATTTCTGAGTTTGACTTTGGCTTTCTTCTTTCTTAACTGACTCTCCCTTAAGCATCATTAAGGCTTTTTTAGTGTAAAGCAAAAGGCAAAACCAAAATAGCCCCAAGCCCTCTGTATCTACTGTAACCTTGTGCATAATCCTTAATTCACAGTTCTCACCCAAGTCATTTAAAATATCTCAGCTTAGAAAATCCTAAAGATGTAAGCAGTAGCTGGGCCCAGTGGTGCATACCTGTAATCCCAGCAGCTTGGGAGGCTGAGGCAGGAGGATCAAAAGTTCAAAGCCAGCCTCAGCAAATGAGCAAGGTCCCAAACAACTCAACATGACCCTGTCTCTAAATAAAATACAAAAAAAAAAAGGACTGGGGATATGTTTCAGTGGTTGAGTGCCCCTGGATTTAATCTCCAGTATCAAAACAAACAAACAAACAAACAAAAAAACTTATAAGCAGTAATCAAGCATTCAACCTGGCAGACTTCCCGAAGATTCTATGTGATATCCAATTGGCATGTTTTGGAAAGTAGGTAGAACAGCCAATGGAAAACACAACAAAATTTCAGTATAAATTTCAGGCAATCCTATTAAACAGTATTTTTATTAACAAGTCAATAAGAAGGAATCTATAAGACATGTTCTGAAGCAACAACCTCTTACTCATATTTTCTTAAGTTCACATTTTAGATAAATAAAGCTAAGTAGGATATTTATAAAATTCATTAAGCAAGAAATTCCAACTTGTTAAAAAAAAATGAGGTTAAAAGAAAGTGACATGCTTTAGTAACTAGGAAGCTAAGATCCCAATCCTTTATATACACATTGCTTTTAAGTAAATGTTACTCCTTGATGTGATTTTTTACAATTAGAAAAAGATTAGAGGGAAAAATACAGACTATATGGCTAATTCAAAGGGCACTAACATATTGATTATAGCAGTACTAACATCAATTATTTAAAAGGTAATTTTAACTGTACTTTTGACAAGATACATTTTCAGCATTTTGTTCCAAAATCCCTCTTGCCAACAGATTGATTATTAATCTCTCCCTTCTTCTGTCAGCTCATTCACTCTCAACTCTAAATACTTAAAGAGGAAAATAGGCCCCGTGTTCTCCTGCAGCTTAATGTGTCCTCTCCCTTTGCCAGAAAAGCCGTATCTTCCAGGTAACCTAGGTTCCACCTCATTACTCAACTGACACTGGGCCCTGAAGTCATCAAAGACTTAACTACCAGCCCCTGAAGGCCCTCTGCTAAGCTCACCTTTGCTCATCATTGTGCAACATCTTTTCCCATCCTTCCTTCTGGACACTCATTCTCTTTCATGCCTTCCAAGATGACCTTTGTTGAGCGTGGAGGTAGGAGCACTTGGTTTTGTTTAGTAACAGCTCTTCTTTTTACATCTATTCCTAATTGCTCACTCACATAGTGGAGTACCTGGCTCTCTTTTCTGCTCACCGTGCTCTCTGAAAGAGGTGGTCTTTTTCCACCATTGTTTTAACTACTGGCTTTATTTAAGACTATTAAATCTATATATTAAAACTGACTTTCGGGGCTTTGCACACCTATTTCCAACTTTCCTTTGAATATATATACTGGGACAGTCAACAAATAACTCAAATTTAACATATGTCAAAAAAAGAATTATACACACACACACACACACACACACATCTTTTCATCTGCTCCTTCTATTCTTTACCACAATTAATAGTGACATCATCCTTTTAGTCACCCCCACTAGGACTGTTAATTTCAATTTTTTTTCTGGCCAATCACCATCCAGTCCTTCAAATCCTATCTCTTCTACCTTCTAAGTACCTTCAAACTCCATTCCCCCCTCCAGTCTCTACATCACTGCTTTAACTCAGGCCTCAAGCAGGCCACTGTGGGTTTCTCAGCTGGCCTCCAGTCCATCTCCTATGCCACCACCAGAGCTATTTTTAAAAATCCATGTTCCCTACCTGCTGACAAAATCCTTTAATGATCACCACTGCCACAAAATCCAAATTGCTGAGCGAGGAGCACATGGCTCTTAATAACCTCCCTATTTACCTTCACCGCCACCTTCCCCTTAGAGAAATAGAACTATCTGTGGATCCTTAAACACGTGACATGTCTTCATACTGTCATGCTTTTGTGTATGCTACCTGTTTTGCACAACATGCCCTCATTACATTATGCACCCCTCTTTTCCTTCAGAACTCTGTGCAAATGTTAATTCCTCAGAGAAGCCTCTTTTCCTCTTATTCCTGTGGTCTTTTCCCATCATTGTTTTAACTACTGGCTTTATTATCTCTCTACTCCTCTCTCCTCTAAAGGAGTCCTTGAAGTAGTGGGCCTATGTTATCTTTAGCTCATGCTTCATAGTTAGTACTCAGTAAACATTTGTTTCTTGGGGGGGGGAGAGTAAATTCAACTTATACATCCTTAGTGAAGATAAAGAATCTGTATATATTCTTTATGTAGATGGTCCATATTAAACTCTCCCCCACAAAAGAAAGCAAAGTTGATTATGCTGTAAAAAACTAAGTTATCAGTGCTCACAGCTTTGAAAGATAAATCTTTCTGCATTTATGACTTGTATCCATTTTTAAGTCCAAAAAAATTTACTGAACATAAATAGAGCCTATCCTAGATAAATCTGGCAAGTAGTAGAAGTTTCTCTTGTTTTGGAAAGCTTTCTCACTGCTCAGCTCCTTCCTTTCTTAGAAATGGCATAGGCTTCAGGTCTTCAATTCCATACATCAAAACACCAATGCAGTTTTCATGTTATAACACTCAGAATACTAAAGAATTCACTGAGGCAGGCCTTTACATGTTAAACTTCATATTTCTAATTTCAGAACAAAATATTCTTTTTTCGCTATTTAAAGGAATTCCAAACACCAAAACAAAACAAAACCAAAAACAGGCAGTTTCTATCATGCAGAGGATCTCTTGATTATCAAGAATACAAGTAACAATAAATGTTGGCAAGGATGTGGGGGAAAAGATACACTCATACATTGCTAGCGTGGAAAGCAGTATGGAGATTCCTCAGAAAACATGGAATGGAATTAGAATTTGACGGAGTAATCCTACTCCCTGGCATATACCCAAAGGACTTAAAATCAGCCTATTATCGTCACATGGCCACATCAATGTTTATAGCAGCTCAATTCACAATATCTAAGCTATGGAACTAACCTAGGTGCCTTCAGATGAATGAATAAAGAAAATATGATACACACACACACACACACACACACAATGAAATATTATTCAGGAATAAAAACATTTGTTTTTATGAACATATGGCATTTGCCTGTGAAAGGATGGAAATGGAGACTATCATGTGAAGTGAAATAAGCCAATCCCAAAAAACCAAAGGCCTGATATGCAAATACTAACACACAGTGGTGGGAGGATAGAAGTTCAGTGAGTTAAACAAATGAGAATGAAGGGAAGGGAGTGGGGTTGGGTATAGGAAAGACAGTAGAATGAATTGTATGTAAGTTTCCTATAGGCTCAATATGAATACATGACCAGTATAACTCCACATCATGTATAACCACAAGAATGAGAAGTTATACTACATGTATGTATGATAAGTTATACTACATGTATGTATGATGTTAAAATGCATTTTATGTATTTTAACTACTGTCACATATAACTAAAAAGAATAATTTAAAAAACTCAAGACAAAACAGGCCCCAATATGGATTGGGTTAGTTAAGGATGTTTTGTGAAGTGAATCAAAATGGACAGTCCATAGGTTCACATATTCACCTCACCTAGGAGTGGGCCTTCCATACCTCTCCGGGGAAGACTTTGCTTCAATAGCTGCCTGTTGCATTCTTCAGTTCTGAGGGAGTCAGAGAAACTTGTGTCCAACTGTCATCAACTTCATCCAAAACTAGAATATTCTGTCCTCTCCTTCCTCAGCACAAATCAGGAAAATGTTATTCTTTTATTAAATAGAGCAAATGAAGCCCTCTGTGGTTAGATTTATTTGGGACTGGCCAATTACCTTTTCACTTAGCTTTCTTTTCATTTGCTACAAACATGACTGGTTCATCTTTCTTCTCTCACCTGAAATAATCTCTGAAATGCAGGATTTGGGATCTTGGTGGTTGGAAACAAGTCTTCAATGGTGTCTTCCTCCTTGTCTTCCTTTACCAAGCTCATAGAGTCGACTAAAGCATCAACAGCACTCAACTGTGCCTCTTAAGACAAGGATAAACAGAGAAGCAGAAAGGGAAAAAAAGGATTATTCACATTATTCTCCACTAAAACAAAAGCTTTCTATTTTATAAGTACAGCAATACTAGCAGGTTATATACTCCTGGTTCTGCCAAAAATATTCTGTATGTATGCAAGTACTTAATCTGAGTCTTGTTTTTTTAATCTGTGAAAGAGCTTTTTAGAGTAGTTGACCTCTTAGGTTCTTTTCAGCTCCTCCATTTGATGAACCTTTGACAATGGAGTATCATATCAAAAGCAAAAGAGTCTACTCCAGAAAAAACGAACAACAGCCACAGGAAAACCCGACTTCTCCATGGAAATTTGAACCAAATATTCATCATTCAATGAGCTACTTGAAAAGAGAAAAGTATTCTGAGCTTTTAGAAGGAAAAGTTAGAATCCAGCCCCCCTCTTTTTTTCTTTTTCTTTTTTTCCTGGAATAAGGTTAGTTTTAAAAAAATAAGGAAAGGCTTAATAAAAAGCAGATTCTTCTTTTATGCTTTTCCAGGCCTTTCTCTTGTATTTCATGTGAATGAGACTTTTTTAAAATATAAAAATAGCAGGAGAGCTTAGACAAACTATATAATAATGTAATCAGTACTAGGGAAAAAGTGTTCCAGGATCACACTTGTCATAAAGGTAGCATCGAGGTAAGATGAAGAAGTTACACTACAAATTTATTCAAGAGGAACAAAAGTACAGAAAAATATAAAATGTGCATTTCTGAATCTTAAGCCAGAGGAAATGGAAGGTGAAGACTGGATTAAATTGTAGATTTATACTGAGGAAGGGGAGTGAAAGAGAGAGGCAGGAATATGCTAGTCCTGGATGAAGTTGATGACAGTAGGACACAGGTTTCTCTGACTCCCTCAAAACTGAAGAACATCATAGGCAGCTTTTGAAGCAACTCTTTTCAATGGAGAGATGGAAGGCCCAACTCCTGGGTGGGGCGAGTGTATGATGGAGAGAACGTGTACTATCCATTTTGACTATTTTTTAAAAATTAGTAGTTAACTAAAGAGAAAGACATTAAAAAGAAAAAGAAAACCCCTATGGCAATGAAGCATAAACTTCCTAATACTTAATGTAATTTTTATCAGAGTCTAGAATCTTAACAGGACGACACCACTGGACCACAGTGAGCTGATTCTCCTGTTAGAATCAGTTCCTCCTGCATACATATACACCCATGTACATATCTTACCCCACTCAATTCAAAATATTCTGAAGTTCCATGACAACCTTTTTATGTCTTTTCTAATACCCAACAGAAAGCAAGTAAGTGCTCCTCAAAAAAAAATCTACCAAGGTCTGGGTTTGTAGCTCAGTGGTAGAGCGCTTGCCTCGCATGTGTGAGGCTCTGGGCGTGATTCTCAGCACCACATAAAAATAAATAAATAAAATAAAGGCATGTGTCTATCTACACTTAAAAAAAAAAAAAAAATTACCAAGTAAAACAAAACTGGGATAGTCCAAAGCGATGTGGATGAAAAACAACTCTTTCTTAAATGCTTCTGTACTGCTGATTCACAGCAGTTCAGCTGTAGAACTTAAGTACTATTTTTGGATTCACAGTCACTAGGCAAAAGGTAAAATGTACCTTATGCCTGAAGTCTCTCAAAAGTACCTTGCTTCTATTCTTCACCATTTCAGATATCCCTTTGTACAGGCACTATAAATGAAAGAGCACAGAGGTAGGTACTGTGGTACATTTCTTTCCTGTTTTTGAACTTTCCAGAGAAGGTTTCAGACAAAGGCATAGCTATCACCAACTTAAGCTAACTAGTGCAGTGTCCACATAGAATTAGCTAGGAGATGATACTTACACATGTGAACATTCAGTGATTTTCATCTGCTACTACCAGTTAGTATCAGGCCAGATTATTCTGGCCTTTCAAACTCCTACAATGACTACATCGACTCCTACATCAACTAGGGAAATACATTAAACAGCTTTAAGAATCCATTTTTCCACAGGAAAGAATATAAACAGAAATACGTTAACACACAGAAAATAGATCAACAGATCTAAAGATATCTGATTTTTGAGATTCTGATGATTTATGTCTATAAAATAATTATTAAACAAAGTTCTTTTTAAAAAATATTCTACTCATTTAAAGTTTGAAATGATCAAGAGGTAGAGACAAGACTATGACACAGTGACAACTTTATACATTTGGGTCCATTCCTGCCTCCACCATGACGTAGAGGGCCTCAACTCTAGAAGGAAGACAAAGATCCCAGCCGTAGGAACCCATTTAATTCTTAGCCTTTTCTCAGCACACTGCTCCGAAAAGGTCGAACCAAAACAACACACAGGAAGAACACACCTACAACCCCTTAATCCTACACTGACACGGATAATAAATTAAACTTGAAGAATAAATTATCTACCATCATTTGTTGTTCTTTTAGGTATATTTTCTCATTCTGTCCCCTGCTACATTTTATTACAGTTGTCTTAAATGGTGTGCTCTCAGGAAGACTGGACCTGTGACTCTGAGACTCATTCTGTGTAATATCCTACATGTGCAGCCAGAGGCCAAATAACAGGGTTTCTCATTAAGTTCCAAGTAACTCCTAGATGCTAGAAGTACATAACAATGAGACTTAACCTTACTGCAAACTATAAAAGGAGGGCAAAGAGAAAAGCTCATTTCCAGTATCGTCATGTGAATTTCCAAGATTTTTCATGTATGTAGAACATGGTGTGATACTGCACACCAATTCATTTCAGCAGGGGCAAAGTTGATCACAACCAGAGAACAGACACCCAGCACCAACAAGCTATTCCCTAGACACATGCACAAAGTCAGAAGGGGGAACTAGACAGTATTTAGAAAGTTCAGGGCAAAGCTATTTCTAGTACTGAAAAAATAGTTCAGGAGTATAAGAACAGAACTGACCAATTCCATCCTGTGAAATCTTATCAACAACCAATGACTGGAGCCAGGTGATTGCCCAAGAACAAATCTGCATGCAGAGCCATTAGTGAACTAAATGGAAATAAACTCACCTGTGGGAGTAAATTTCTTATTATTTTTCAGGGATGAAAACATATATTGCCGCAAGTCTTCCATGAAAGGCAGCTGCACATACACTAAGCACTAATGAGAAAGGAAGGGGACAAAAGCAGAAACAATAAAGTTAATGGAAAAAATATAAAAATGGTCCCAAATGTTGTAAAAATGGCACAACAGAAATATTTCAGAAATCAGAAAACTCAAATCTGGCACATGAAAAACTAAAGTGTTTTGACTTGTGCTACTGACTATTCACAACTGCAAACAATATGAAAAATATTAAACATTAAAGAAATGCTTAAAAACAAAACTACTAAGGGGCTGGGGTTGTGCCTCAGTGGTAGAGCGCTTGGCTTGCTTAGCATGTATGAGGCACTGGGCTCAATTCTCAGCATCGCATATAAATAAATAAAATAAAGGTTCATTGACAACTAAAAACAAAACAAAAAAACTACTAAATGCAAACTGTAAAATGCATGCATGACCAAGTAAAAAAAATAAGAAAAGGCAGGGTGCCTGGAAGGCTGACCTGCAAGTCAAGATATTTGCTTTCACTTTATATTTCTGGTAAGGAATCTAGACTTATATTTTAAATACAGATCTTTTAAAACAGAAAAGCCCCAAATGGACTTTACATGGATCACAACAAAAATCATATCCTCAACCTTTATTCATAATCCCTGTTTATTAAAGTGGAGGTATTTCTCTTCCCATTTGATTCTGAAGTCAAGAAGGTCAAGAACTGAGAGAAAAGATCACAGTTAACCCTTACTGATTTAATAAAAACCTCCTTAAATATTTTTATAAGTTATGTTGTTTCCTTACAATTGAAAACTTGGTTCATAGACCAGCAATATCAACATTACCTGAAAGTTTTCAAGAAATGTAGGATTTGGGCCCCACTCCAGATCTAGAGAATAAGTATCTGAATTTTAACAAGATCCCCAAGTAATTCCCATACATATTAACAGTTGAGAAGCACTGCTTAGCATAAAGGATGGGTTGCAGGGAGAATACAAAAAAAATAAACCTGTGGGTTTTACCTCATAGGCATCCTTGATATAAGGAAAAGCCACACCAACTTGAGGATTAGCTCTTCTGTCATAAATGTATCGAACTACAGCCACCATGTCTAATTCATCCAAGGCATGAACCAAGGAGGAAAGTGCAACTGCTGCTGCCTTTTAAGAAAGATGCATGTATTAACACAGATCACAACATTACCTCATAAACCCCAATAAGACAATACCATTTTTTGACCACCACATTAAAAACTGACACCAAAAAGTTGTTCATCCTTTGCCAATAGATCTGAAAATATCTCTTCTTGAGTGATACTGAAGTGACCTTACAATGTACAGTATTGAAAATTCATTATACAAAATGAAGTCATTCCTGTCACAAACCACAAAAATGGAGTGGAGAAGCCATGAAAAGGAAGAGGGAACACTCAGAGACTGCTTGGAAACTTATAGGGATGGAGTTCTGACCAACTAAAAAAAAAAAAAAGAAAAAGAAAAAATCCATCTGGAGACAGTAATACTCACTGACAAAATAAGCATAAGACAACTGATGCTTGCTTCAGGAATTGCCTCACAGAATCATCTCAATCCCATGAGAGCGCAACTTTATGACTATCAGTACTTAGCAACTGACAAAACACTAATACAATCTCAAAAGCAGCTTTACATAGTAACTGCCACAGCTCAATGAGCAGAGCTCACCAGCTCCCTCAAGCACCAAAGTGGCAATGACTTTCTTTCCTAGTAATTTGCAGAGGACTGACTCTCTGTGCAAATGCTAAAGTTTACAATAAGATCCCCAAACTTTCCTTTGTTCTTTAAACACAAAAGAGGCCACCAGACCTGTGTATGTGAAAACTTGGTTCATAGACCAGCAATATCAACATTACCTGAAAGTTTTCAAGAAATGTAGGATTTGGGCCCCACTCCAGATCTAGAGAATAAGTATCTGAGTCACAATCCTATTCTTCATTCCCAAATAGAAGTTCATTCTTTGAAGCTTTGTCTCTACATTTTTATTTGACAGTAGGAAGTAGTTATCTGTATACAGCCAGATTCTAATTACACAATTCACAAGGCTGCCCTTGGCTATCAAATCTAGATAATCACCCAACACATGATTCTCAACACAGCTTAGTGACATGACATTCCTCACTGCACATGCAGCATTTCTCCCAAAATGACTAGAATTTTCTTGCGTAAAAGGACAAATGGGATTTAAAACCTCAGCAACAGAAGTTAAAAACAAGTTGTAGTTTGACAGTACACACCAGACCTACATGATTTCTGAGAATTGATACAGGAAAAACCTATGAACTAGAATTCTCAAATATGAAGATTCCCCATTTCAACTGTGTTCTAATTTATCCCATTCAGTAGTGAGTGGAATCCACACATTTTCTTCTAATTTTAATTTTCTCATAGAATAACAAACGGCATACCCATCTATCTAGATCAACAGCCAGCTACCTTTCAGAAGTGAGGATAATAAGAGGGTTATAACCTGTTATACCAACACCCTATCCCTTCCCAGACAAACCTACTACATTCAGTTTACTAATTTCAATTTTAAATACTTCATGGATTTGGAAACCTGATTCAACAGTCGTAAGTAAGTTCTGATTTGGTGGTCAGAAAGAAAATATTTACAAAGGGAGCAGGTATGAGTATAGGATGCAAAAATCTTGGGGAGATGAGAAAAGAGTAGGAAGAGGGAGGGGGAAAAGATCAAATTCCTCAATAATAGAAGTAGTTCAGTGAGCCACTAAAGTGTCTCTCCAGGATGCTTATGCCAACTCTATATGTTCAGTGTTTATGAAAAATCAAAATGTCAACCTGACCCCGACCCCCTCAACATTTGACCATGAAATTCCCACACCTAAATGAAGTCATTCAAAATGTTTCCTTTTTAATATATACTTGGTCTCCAATTGTAGGATTATGTCCTCAAGTGTTTTACTCATGCTAAAACAAACTCATTTATCATTTCTCCATTTTCACATTTAAAGGTCAGTGAATTTTCCCAATGCTATTGCAAGAATTCATGTCATTTTAAACTTCAAAAGCCCCAAACAATCCACTTTCATCAAATGACAGTTCAATTCTGAAGCACTAACTGAATGATCCAGTTAACTCACCTTATCACCTTTTGCTGCAAAGACCTTTAGAACTTGACTTCCCATAAAGAATTTTCTCTGGACCTACAAGAGTAAGAGAGGAAAATAATTGGTTTTGATCCAATATAAAAAATATATATATATATAGCCATAATGCCACACATTGCTAAGAAATTCTATTCAAAATGTTTTTACAAGAAAACATTCATAGCGACCAGAGACAACTTATTATTTGAGGATGACCATTCATCAACACAACAAACATCTGAGCACCTAGTGTGTGTACTGTATTGTCCTGAATACAATAAACATGACAGTGAACGGGACATAATCTTGCTTTTGAGGAGCTTAGAGACACAAACATGAAATTAACTGCAATGCAGCATTAGCATCAAAGGTTATATGATGTTATAAGAGCACATATGAAGGGCACCAAGTCTGGTCACTGAAGGTTAAGGGAAGGTCAGCAAATGCTGACACCTAAGTTAAGACTTAATAGATAAAAAGGAAACAACTCAGAGGCACATCTGGGCACAAGGTCCCAGGAAGAGATTCACGCTATTGTGAATCAAAGTCTAGAGTGATATAAACTAAAGTACATTTGGAGTAGTTTTGGAGTAGTGCAGCACCACAGTGTAAGGAGAAATGTGAGAAATCATATTAAAGATTAACGATGATTAGATCATGAAGTCTCTTAGAAACAAGTTATGTGGCTTGGACTTTATTCTAACTGCAATGACAAAGCACTGATGAACTGCAGAGAATGAAGTGAAGAACAAATTAGCAAGGGATACAGTTGAAGAAAGGGAAACTTATGAAACCAGAAATAAGTATGCGTGTCCTTTCTTTCCCCTTTTAAAATTCAATTAACTTACCAGCAAAGTTATCAGAGGAGTCAAAGCAATCCACCAATATTCAATTAGAAAATAAATAATGAGGAGTTCCTGAAATCATAACCACCTGCATGTACCTACCAAGATCAACTTCTTTCTGATCTATGTAATCTGGAGCTTGGAACTTCTTTATAACAACATGACACATGCTATATGGGGAAATGTTCCTTATGTTTTTTTCCTGCCCTCTCACCTGAGAAATTATTGGAGTACTTGCATGGTAACAGCAGCTCAAGAAGATGAGTCTCAAAGGTATGGGTAAGGCCCTTATAATTCAAATGCCCCTCATCTCCACTTCCATTCCCCCATAATGGGAATAAACCTATATTTTAGTTTGCTATATTCATATAGCTCGACTTGCCCTAACAGAATCTATAATAGTTCCTGATTTATTAAAGAACAGCTAATGATAACTTTTCCAAATGTACCCAAATGATTTTTCAAAGAACAGTCAGACATTTGGGAAAATTCTGGCTAAATTTTTATCTATCATATAGACACCCAGAACACTTGACAACATTAAGACAAGCAAATTGAAAAACCTATTAAATTTTTAAAAGTAATTCACAATTAAAAGAACAAAAACAAAAAGCAGGCTAGGGATGTAGTTCTATGGTTAAGTTCTATGGCAAGCAGCCTAGCATGTGAAAGGCCCTGGGTTTCATCCACAGCACTACAAAAACAAAAACAAAAACAAATAAAACACACACATACACACCCCAAAACAAAATGAAAACTTATCATCAGTTCAATTAAAAAATGTTAGTTTTTCAACATTCTGGTTTAAGGAAATATGGAACAATATGTGATTTTATTAATTCAAAGATAATCACTAGTCTGTAAAAAGATGTATGCTTATATTTTATCACAGTTACCATGTTCTTAACACTTGCGCCCTTTTGTTAAGATAACGTATGAAATCATGTATGTACATTAGACTAGTCAAAAGCTGAGTTTGTTCATTTGTTGAGCAGATTACCATTAAACAATAGCATAGGCTTTGGAGGCCGTCCTGTTCAAAACCCATCTCTACCATCTCGGAGCTGTGTGACCGTGGGCCAGATACTTAACAGCTCTGAGCCTCAACTTCCTAATCTATAAAATGCAGATCATGGCATCTCCCTGAGAGGATTAAAATAAGAATTAAATGAAAATTTACATAAAATGCTTATTAATACATTGACTAGAATATTATAAATATTCAATAAATGGTAGCTATAATAATTATCTTCATTGTACTTATCTGGGATTTTACTTAGGATTAAATTGACTTAGAGCCTAAAAACAAAAAGTCGACTTAGAAAACACTTCATGATTTTAGAAGTTAATTTTAGGTTAATAAAAGTCTTCTAGGGCAGGGGCTGGGGCTCAATGGTAGAGGCACTGGGTTCGATCCTCAGCATCACATAAAAATAAATAAAGATACTGTGTCCAACTACAGCTAAAAAAAATTTTTAAAAAGTCTTCTAAAATGGAAAGTATATTTTTTGTTCTGTTCATTATTTTGCTTTGCTATTTAACTGAAATAGGCTCTCCCTCCCAACCTGGCAAAGGTGATTTCAATATCCCGAGTCCTGAATTATACTTGAAGGGTTTTCATAGGTCTTTTCTGCCTATCTAGATCTACAGTCACTTCTTTCTTTCTTTTATTAAGATGATTCCACTTTTTTTTATGTCTTTATTTATTTTTATGTGGTGTTGGGGATCAAACCCAGGGCCTCGCCCTTGCTAGGCAAGCGCTCTACCGCTGAGCCACAACCCCAGCCCTACATTCACTTCTTAATAGACCAGTTTCTACAAAACAGTGAAAATGAAGTTTCTGTTATGCTGAAGACTCGTAAGCACTGCTACCAATACTCATCAGTTTTAAGTTTATATGCTTTCTAAAGTGAATAATTTGTGAAACTTTGCTAAAAGCATTAAGGAGACCCCAAATAAAGGAGACGCACTATGAAAAAATAAATAAATAAATAAAGTGAATAATTTCATTTTTAAGAAAGCCATATTTAGTGTCTTGTTAGAAACTCTCAACTTCCTAAAAGTAATTATTCTGATCAATAAAATCTTACAGATTTTAAGTAAATACTCTCAATTTTTGGCTTATGAGTTTTGAATACATACGTATCAGTTTGGAGAATCATGAAAACAATTCTCCTCAACCTCACTAAACTCTTCTAACACTGAAGTACAAGGAGACTATATGCCAGAGCAACATGAGGAAGTTCAAATTCAGAATACCGGATTCAGAATACTTCATTAGAATTTTCACATGAGTTCTCCAATAAAAATCTCTTCATCCCTATATACCTTGGGTAAAACATATATAAAGCTACATTTTATATTTCCTAATTATAATTTATCTCTTTGGCTGCCTACCTCAAGAACATTTAATCTAAGATCTCCGGGAATCTTTTAACAATCTCTTCTAAGATAGCATGTGGTATATCCCAAGGTGAATTACGCCATTTCCCACATTGTCTATTTAGTACTTCTTTGCTTTGGGGCCTAAAACACATGTTACTTATATAGATAAGTTTCACATCCTAGAACTCTACATTGGAACTGAGAAGGAAAGTGACCACTATTAATCAATGATATTTTGAGAGTTAATGTCATTCAAAACCCACGTAGCAATCATCTAAAACACTCCATTATACATCATAGTTTAGAGAAAGAAATACCACAGCAAAGAAATGAATACTATTTCTTTACCTTTAAGGTTACTATGAGCTTTGATGGTCAGCAAAGGGAGGAAATGACTTAACTGAACCTATTCTTCAGATTTATTTACATCTTGGTTTTTCTCTTCAAAAATCAAAAATAAGCTGGGTGCAGTGGCACACCCCTGTAATCCCAGAAACTCAGGAGGCTTAGGCAGGAGAATCACAAGTTCAAGGCCAGTCTCAGGAATTTAGCAAGACCTTCACAAACTTAGCAAGACCCTGTTTCAATCCCTGGGTCCAATCACCAGTACCCCCCAAAAACGGGAAGAGTATCAAAAATCAAATATAGCTACACTAACCCCCCAACTAAATTAAAGAAAACAAAGTAAAATAAATATTGTAAACGAAATGACCAATCAAAAGCATACCACCTCAAGTAACAACTGGGGAAAAGCTCACAGATTTTATTCATAATTGCAAAGTAATTACTGTACCTGAGAAGATCTACAAAATCCCAAAACAGAGAAGCACTTCCCCTCCGATTTGTATTTCATTTGTTCCTCATCCACTTTAGAGAAAGGAACTATATCGCTTCCATAGCGGAACCCTAGAGAACGAGAGAAGAGCATCTGTTAAGCATATGGGGCTCGTTTTCTCTGAGATGAAATGAGCTCTACACATACATTAACAATGCAGGCACACTCTAGAGTGAGCCTCCATCTTCTATTCCCTGGAATCAAATTGCTGCCCCTTGTGATCAACAGGGAAAGAGCAGCAGCAGAATCACAAACCACAAATACAATACAGAGAAAATTAAAATCTAATTACATTTTTTAAGTAGCATCTTTTTCAATCTAGTTACCTTAATGATTATCCAGGCTAAAAGAAACGATGTCACAAATGCAATGTACTAGTTATCCTCCAAAGATAAACCATGGTAAACTAAACTACAAGCATGATTCGTAAACATAATAACAAGAACACATTTATTCAAAAGCCTGGAGACCACAGAGAAAACCATCCATAAGAAATTTTCAGAACAAAACGTTCTCAAAAACCCATGCTGGATACCTACGAAACCAAAACTCTTCTGTTTAGAAACATTCAACTGCTAAGTTGTACATTTTTCTGCATTTAAATTTTTTATATTTCTTGGATTTGACTGCATTTTCTCTTTTTAATTACTGAGAAATCTACATAATGCAGCACACCCACCACCCACAAAAGACAAAAACTCTAAGTCTAATCCAAGGCTTCTGCACTGTAGAAAGATTATGTCCTTTCAATAAACAGTATTTTATATATTTGGTGGGGCATGGATCATCAAAATTCAAGGTAAATGCAAGGACAAGCACATTCTTCTTTACTCCAAGAAACAACCAATAACAATAAAAAAAAAAAAAAAAAAAAAACCTGGGTGTCCAGGGGCAGAATCTATGATCTAGTGTTTACTTGTTCTTTTAGTCTGTTGATACCATATATCAAAAACAATAATAATAGGGGCTAAGGCTGTAGCTCAGTGGTAGAGTGCTTGCCTAGCATGCATGAGGCACTGGGTTCGATCCTCAGCACCACATAAATATAAACAAATAAAATAAAGTCATTCTGTCCATCTACAACTACAAAAAAACTTTAAAAAATTTAAAACAACAATAAAAATCCATGTTGCAATTTTTATCATGTATGTTGAAAAAAAAACTGGCAACAATAACAAAAAAACTCCAACAACATTTTAACTGGAAAATACATGGTATTTGATTAACAGTGGTATCTAAACCAAAAACTTTTTTAACTTTTTCTGTCATCAGTCAATTTTTCATTTGATTCATTTAACAGTAACTTGAAAGTTCTAATTAAAAATGTCTTGGGTTTTCTGGTTCTTCTACTTAAAGGGCAAATAATTTTAATTTTGTACCTGGCAGAAAGTACAAAAAAACCCCTACAATATATAACCACATTTCTTTGCCCACATGTGTATACTAGTCTCTCTGCTTAACAAAGAGAATTCTGCATGTTAGGAGGTAGGGAATAAAGGACAAGGAAAGGAAGTCTGTAAATAAAATGATAAAGGTGAAAAAGATGCAATTCAATGCTCTTTGAACCCAAAAGGGTTTTAACTCTTCTCCTTCCACTGCCTCACTATAAATTATCTTTGTGTAACATACCAGAATTTTCTTTGCTAACAACAAAAAGAACCTACATCCTTATCTCTAGACCTTTCTCCTTCCAATCCATTCTGTACCCAATTGTCATATTCAGTTTCCTAAAATGCAGTCCCAATGATTCCCTGCTCCTAAAAACCGTAAGACTCCACACTGCTTTCAATATATAAATGTATTCTATCATTGAAAGCCCTTAATTAGTCAGTCCTGATTCAGAATAATATGTAGGAACACAGACTGTAAAGGAACACAGCCTTAGATTCAAGTTCTGCTAGTTGTTAACTGTGTGACTTTGAATGTTAATGAATGCCTTTCAGCCTTGCTTCCTTTATCTGTAGAATGGAAATAACAAGTGCCTGCTTCTTTAGGTTGTTGTGACAGCTAAAAGAGAAAATGCAGGCTGTCAATTTTGTACCACAGTAGGCCCTCTACTTTCCTGGTCTTGGGCCTTATGCTACTCTTCCTACTATGTGCCAGTCATACCAGGATCAAACCATGAGGAATGATTCTACCCCAAGTCTAATTCCAAAATTCATGTTCTATACTACTGAACTGAATTAAAGAGCTATTAGAAATTGGAGAGTGTTAATTATACTTCATACATAATCCTCCAGGGAGTCAAAATCATTCCCACTTTTATTTTTTTTAATATTTAGGTGGACACAATATCTTTATTTTTTATTTTTATGTGGTGTTGAGGATCGAACCCAGTGCCCTGCGCATGCCAGGTGAGAGCGCTACCACTTGAGCCACATCCCCAGCCCCCATTCCCACTTTTAAATGTCTCTACTCCTAACACACATAACTATATGCTATGAGATACAGTGCTATAGATGAAATTTTTGTCAAAACTTGCAAATCAAAACTATACTGAGCAGTGCATAGCCTGGCAATAAATTTCTTTTAAGAATTCTGGTTGCTATCTTAAACCGTCATTTGGTATCTTATAATTTTAGTTTTTGAATATTCAGATATTCTTAGCTAACTTTTAAGTCCTCTGGATAGAAAGGCCATCTAGACATACTACCCAAGGCAAATGGGAATAATATATGAGTACAACTTTAAAGATCTTAGTGAGTCCAAAGCAATATAACAAACAAAAATAATTTTCCTTATCCTCTGAATTAACATAAGAAAACATATCTGGATATAATAACTGAAATTGGAACTTGGAAGAATAATCATCATGGAAGTAAAAAATAAACAAAACACTTGCTTTAGCCACTTTAATGTTAATACTCTCTTAGCTAATGAGTTTCAACTTTAAATAAAGCCAAGTATTAAGCCCTGTCACCTGAAATTAAAATTGACAAGGATGAAAAACGTGCTCTCTTAGAAGCCATTCAGCCTAAGTCCCAACAGATGAGCTAAAGGAAAAAAATGTCTCCATCAGACAGCTGCATCTTATCTATACCTCAAAGTAAAATCCTTAAGTGAACAATAATACAAATAGTAGCCTGTCTCATACTGCCTTAAGAAAAATCTCTTTTAGGCTAAAGTGCAAACTCTTACTAACATACCTTGAATAGTATCTTCTTTGGGAACTTCAGTTTCATCATCATCATTTAAGCAATAAACTGTTTCTTTTTGTATATCTTCTTTCTTTAGGGTTCTTGCATCCACAACCATCCAAGTCTTTTTAATTTGCTCCAAAGTAATCTTAATTTCAAAATTAAAAAAAAAAAAAATAAGGAATGCTAGGATTCTGACAGAAGATAAAAACCTAACATGTTCTCTAGTTCACAAACAAAAATCTAAAACAATTACTACATTGTCTTACTCTTGCCTATTGTGGAAATCTTGGCTTATTTTACAATAGGAAATACCTGTAACTTTCTCTACATTTCATTATCCCCTAGGATGATCTACAAATATTAATATCTGAATATACATAAATAATTTCTATGCAAAACCCTAAAAAAGGAAGACCATACACTTTATCAATATTCTAATAAAAAAGAAAGAGAAAGCAACATATCAATAGTCAGAAATCAACAAATTTTGAAAAGGAAAGCCAAATAAAGAAGGGAGGAGACTATTCTCATTCCTAGGAACACTATTCTAGGCCTTAATGGAACCCAAAATAAAGAACTACCTCTAAGCTTCTTATGACATACCATGGGTTTAGGAATTCAGTCCTCGAATATACAAAAACATGTCTGTATGTTTACTTTTTATATTTAAAATGTTTTTATTTTATTCTGTAGATTTAGCAAAAAAGGCAAATCCTTGCTCATGTGGAAACATGGGTCAGAGATTCCAATTCAGACTGGAATTTCATTAAATAATTACCAAAAGAAACTCACTTTTTAAAGTGTGCATAATATTATGGTCAAATGTGCATATATTATGAAACATAATTTCACAATAACAACTCAGTATCTTTTAATGTTTCATAGATCTTGTCACTATCAGATCATTAATAAATGAATTAAGTGTGAGTCTCCAAAACTCTGAACTTTTGCACATCACTGACATTTCTGCCATATTACAATGTCAACATAATGAATTACATTTTCTTTAAGAGAGACACACACACACACACACAAACACACACACACTCACACACACACACACACACAGCGCCAGAGACACACCAAGAGAGCTGAATTCCATAACAATCAATTATCAATGCAGAGAAAAGGGAGGGAATCAAACTTTATCATAAATAATTCTGAAAACTTCTCCTGGCATGCCTTTTACATAAGAAGTTAAACAGAAGACTAAATGAAAAGGAAGAGCAGCTAGAGAAGCATTAATTATACTCTGAATAACCCACACATGAATTGTCAGCTGCTTATATAAGCATATTTATCTCTCTGGTAACTTCTCTTTAAAAACTGTGTACCTACCACTTACCGATTTATAGGCCACAATCTTTATAGACAAATTGGAGCCAATGGTCAGCTGGCAGGACCAGGGCATGGAACGCCTCTCAATTTTCTTAAAGACACATAGTTGTCTCAGACTCTCACTTAATAAGGAAAAATACACAATAAAAGTAACAATTTAAGAATGCTACCTTATGCTAGATGATGCACTAAATTTTCTAGAATGAGAAATGAGATGTTGATGATTATAGACAGAGGAACAGCAGGGGATGGCAGGAAAATGACAATCATTTGGGGGAGAGCCAGAACACAAATGAGATGGCTTAGAAGGAAGTAGGAGTTGAACTGTTTTACTGACAGGTGAAAATGAACAGCTCTGTCTTCCCCTATTCAATCATTCTTTCAACTCTGCCAAAGATTCTTTACATTTTTCTCAGGACCAAGGACACTTTTGAGGATATAATAAAAAGCACATTCACAAATGAGTCTGCACACAATATAAATGGTTTACCAACTCCCTGAAAACAACAGACCCAAGGATAAGAACCCTGCTATGGAATATGACACCACTGCTTACAACACCACAATTCACATACTTAATTAGTTAATTCCAAATCTCTTAAAAGACATGATCTATTTTTATGCACACAGTAGAAAGAGTTAAGTAAAGACTATTGGGTATAAAGCAAATTATTTGACTACATTTAGTCTTAAGGTAGATAACTCTAGGTTTTTTACTGGTATAAAGGGCTGGAGGAGGAGCTTCTTCACTTAAAAGTAAAGATCAACTCTTACTTGCTCTAATGAAATACAACATAGAAGATTATAGGATAGGTGGAATTTATGGTTTCACTAAGATAAAAAACAAAGGAATTAGCAATTAAATATACTCAAAGCCTTTGGCTCCATCTCCTTGGTTATAGATGAAAAACCGATCTACAAAGAGGTCAAGAGAATTATCTTACATCATCCACAGTTATAGACAGAGAGACCTCAATAGACTCCAATTCTCAGAAATAATTTAAAATAAATAATTGATATTCAACTGACACCCTATTTCCTGAGTTTACAGTATATATTTGCTTTGGGTTTGTTGGGGAATGACTAGGTCTAAGCCAGATATAAACTGTCTCATAAGACATTATTAATCCAAATATAAGTCAAATCTAAAACCATCATAAGGATATAGATTCTGTTCCAGGGGAAAATCTAAAGACCAGTATCATATAAGATTTGAGAACAACTGTTATCAGTTATGCAGTAGAGTTAAATCTCCCCAAGAACTCAAGTTGTCTTCCAAAGATCTTCATGGCATAAGTCTAGTCTAGTGCTGTGGAGTATAATTTCTATAATGATTGGAAATACTCCATTTCGAACCATGACACCCCAACAGGCAACTGAACTAAAATGTGGCTAGTGTGACTAAAGACCAAATTTTTAAATTTATTTAAACTTAAATAGCCACATGTGGCTAAGGGATTTTGTATTGGATAGCAAGGTTCTAGTCCACACTTTCATGGCAGATCTAAAATCAAAGTAGCTTCAAATTGCTAGGACAATGCATAGTCAATAATGTATCTACTTGCTATGCTACAAGGAGGAAAAAAACTTTAAAAATAAATTTTAAAATTTGTATTGGCCTGTAATTTTTATTTATGTTATCATGGCTAATATGTTAGTTTAAGGCATGTATTCCCAAAATTTTTCAGAGAACTTAAGAATATATAACTGCACAAATTGTGACAATACACTTTACGCCAAGAAACTTCACTTTACAGTATTCCTCATTGATTTCTTTAGCAACCCTCTGGAAAATTATTATTCTATTTCCAAAACTTTAACTTACCTATAATTTTTCAAGGGTGTTCATATTTACAAAGTAAGGATGTAATATTCGTAAATTATAGCTTACCAGAAATACTTAAACATTGTGGCTGAGAAAAATATTAGAACAGATATATACTATTGCTACTGAAAAATATTCTAGTTGTTGAATATTTACTTCTTTTAAGAATTCTGCTTACACTGCCTGCCTGTATTTTGTGTACTGGTTGATAAACTGGAATTAATTCATGAACATCAAGCAGTATTTCCCTAAGGATCTGAATCCACAAGAGCCAACTGTTCAGTAAAAGATTCTATGGTCACTTTTGCCAAATCAGACGCCTTATACACATGATATTCTAGATGCCATTAATTCCTATATGTTTTTTTGCTCAAAATAAAATTCTGTCCAATTTTAACTGAGAATAAGATGGATAAAGAAAATGGTTTCTCCCACAGTCTTTATGGATGCATGAAAAAAGTAGTTTGCTTCTTTGTTATATGGCACTTCAGAGATTTTACTTTTTAAAAATTATGTTGTTTTCATAATACTCATGTGAAATACATTGTCTATGAATTCTTCATGTTTTGGGTTTAAATTTCTTTTTTCTTTGGCCTGGTCAAACTATTTGGTGACCAAAAGTTAAAAATAAACAAAAAACAGTGACACACACACTCTAAAACCTAAATCAGAAGAGATTGATTATTCCAGATCTGATATCACTTTTTATAAGTGAAAATGGTTTTTGCAGGGGTATGAAAAGAAGAGACCCCCCCCAAAAAAAGTGCCTCAAGCTTGACATAAAGAAGAAATCTACTACTTTATCTTTTACAAACCGACTTGTTAAATGTCTTGTTTTTTCTCTATATTCGCAAACTCCATTTATATAAGTCTGGAAATAAATGAGAAACCTGTGATAACCACACAAACCCAGAAAAGGGAGATGAAGGTAAGTATACCATTTCTTTTAATAAAACTCAGAATACATTTAAAGACTGGCTGCTAATTTGAGAGCAGCTCAAAAAAGCAAAGCATTAAGGAAATACATGATCAAAAGAAATTTATTTGGGTACAACTAAAAGTTGTCACATACTTTCACTTCTTACCGGAAGGAATAAATTTCATCCAGCCCATCTTCACCTTCTAAAGACATCATCACATTTTTCACCATCTGAATGCCTTCTTTTTGCTGCTCAGTAATACCTTTTTGAGGAAAGGAGGGTCCACGATCATCTAAGTACAAGCTGCCATCTCCTCTGTCCCCAGTACCATTTATCTTGGCAATTGGGAAGGGCAAACTATTAAGAAAAGATTAGCAATAGTTAAGAGAACAAGCTCTGAAGCCAAATAAACTGGGTTCCAATCCTTTGACGGATACTCACAAGCTACAAGAAAATATTCACTTCAACCAATCTCACAAAACTTCATATTTCTCATCTGCCAATACTCTTCTCATTTCAAGTGACTAAAACCTCTTTGATTTGGTATATAACCAAACAACTAAAGAAACAGCTGTACATGGCCTTAGGATGACTAGACCCAGGATCTCTCATGCGGCAATATCTGACCCTCTCATTGTCTCTCTCCATAATGTGCCTTCGTTTGCCTTTATACTGGCTTCACTTGCTCAATTATGGCTTCCTCCACACTGCCTCCACACACGTTCAAGCTCTGCTATGGTCTAAATGTATCCACCCAAATTCCTATGTTGAAACTTAATCGTTAATGTGATAGTATTAAGAAGTGATGGGCTGGGGATGTGGCTCAAGCGGTAGCGTGCTTGCCTGGCATGCGTGGGGCCCAGGTTCGATCCTCAGCACCACATACAAACAAAGATGTTGTGTCCACCGAAAACTAAGATAAATAAATAAATAAGAAGTGATATCTTTGGAGGGATGATTAAATCATGATGGTGGAATCTGCAGAAATGGCATCAGAGATCCTATATAAGAGATTAAAGGGGCCAGGCACAGTGGTGCATGCCTTATAATTCCAGCAACTCAGGAAGCTGAGGCAGGAGGATGCCAAGTCTGAGGCCAGCCTGGGCAACTTAATGTGACTCTCAGCAACTTAGTAAGGCTCTGTATCAAAATAAAAAATAAAAAAGAGCAGGGCATGGTGGTGCACACTTGTAATCCCATCGACTCAGGGGTCTGAGACAGAAGGATCACAAGTTCAAATCTAGCCTCAGCAACTTACTAAGGCCCTAAGGCCCTTAGCAAGACCCTGTCTCAAAAATAACAGATAAAAAGGGTGGGGGATGTGGCTCAGTAGTTAAGCACCCCTGAATTTAATCCACAATACCAAAAAATAATAAAAAATAAAGTAAAAGCCTGGGGAGGTTGCTCAGTGGTAAAGTGCTTCTGGGTCAAATCCTAGTACCAAAAAGAAAAGAAAGAAAAGAAAATGAAAAAAGAGATTGAAGGGCGTGCCTTTTTTCTATCTTTTTTGGCCTTTGAGCTACGTGAAGACACAGCAACAGGCACCATCTTGGAAGCAGAAGTCCTTTATCAAACACTAAATCTGCTTAGGTTGTGATCTTCAACTTCCCAAACCTGCAGAACCCTAAGAAATAAATTTATTTTGTTTATAAACTTCTCAGTCTAAGGTATTTTGTCACACAACAGGGTGAACTAACACAAAATCATAATGCCCGACTCCACTACCTAAAAGGGCCTTAGGGTTCAATCTAGTGGTCTCAAATTAAAAAAAAAATCAGAAACAATGATAGCCCGATGGTCAAAACTAAAAGATGTTAGTCTAACCTCCAGCTAGAATGTTAGAGTTCAGGAAGGAATATTTTCTAGAAAAAGGCTATATGATATTCTAGGCAGGCAAAAGAAAAACCAAAGCCTACTAATAATCCCTCATAATTATTATGGGGTTTAAATAAAACAATGTATGTAAAATACTTAAAACTCAAATATTATTGCAGACATAGAATTTCTATACAGAAATCATAAAATGCATAAGTAAAACCCAATTTTGTTCTTGAGTTTCATGCCAGGTGTTTACTGAAATGAGCCAAAATTAAGTTGGGATTACCAGTTATGAAAATATTTAATAATCAATATGCAAATTAAAAAATGAACCATCCAAATAAATTTTGGTAATATTCTATACAATACTTTACAAATACTTTTGCATAAACAATCTCATTTAATCCTTACATTAGAGATTTGTATCTCCATTTTCTAAAAGCAACTAAAGCTACTGAGATGAAATAATCTGGCCAAAGCTACATAGCTAATAAATAATGGAGCAAAGATTCAGTCGCCTGACTGAAAGGGCAAGATACTTTCCATAGCAACACCCCTTACTCTCTTACCCCTGCAAACCTAACTGGCTAAATTTGGCAATCTTTTCAGTTCACTCAACATTCTCTGCTGGCCACCTCTATGTGGATGGTTATTTTTAAGGGAATTTTTCAATCATTTTATTTGCTATACTTAAAATAGGGTTTTGTTTGAAATGTTTCTACACATATTTCACATGACAGATTTGTAGGCCCTACTTTATTTGTCAAATAAAAAGCTTCCAGGAAGCAAGGTGTAACACCCAGAGTTTGTTACTGCTATTTCCACAGTATTGGCCAGGAAGAAGGAATGACAGATGATAAAATGAAGAATTAGAAGTTTACCCTTAATTAAAAAGTTACAATAGCAGTTCTTTCTGCCCTACATTTAATCAGAAGTAAGCATTCTCAATAGTCAGAAGAAACTCAAAGCTGTGTCTGAGGAATAAGCCTGATAAAAACAAAGTGCTTTTTTATGCTATTTTTTAAATCCACCTAGAACAATCGACCAAACATGGAATACACAAAACAATAAAACCATAATATTTGAATGCTGGCAGTTTGTAGCACAAGAAGAAAACATATCACCCCCCAAAAATTAATCAGTCAAATAATAAGCATCCCTCTTTTTGGGTTTCTCATACCAAAAAAAGAAACACAGCTTTTTCTCAATGACATTGGCAGAAGTGCAATACAGTATACTTCAACTGTGTGGTGGTAACCTGAGATCATGAATGGGAAACAGAAGCTGAACTGGGATTCCGTAGTACTGAGAAACCCTCAACTCAATAAGAAGTGTCATTTAAAAAGCACTTAATTTTTTCTTAAGTACTGTCTTAACAAGTATCAATTTGATGAGTTATTCAGAATCTCTTTCTACAGTCCTACAGGAAGATGTCTCTCAGCACTATTATGAGATATATGCATGCAAGAGAGGTCAATTCCCTATGGCAGGCATTTTAAAGAGCCAAAGGCTTACCACTCACAGCTAGAGGCTTCTTAGTACAGCTCTCAATTTGAAAAATGAGCACCCCCAGATTAATAATTCAACATCCTGTACCATCACTTGCTTTCACCAAAAATAGGACAAGAAAAATAGACTTCAAATGCAGCCCCAAGTTTAGTGTAGTGAAGAGTTTCTTTGTTAGGGAGGTATGATGAAGAAAGTAAATGCTGGAGGGGAAATTTAAGCTACTATGAGAGGAGAAACTCTGCCTAATAAACTGTGAAGTATATGTTTTCCCATAAATCTGTTTCCTCATCTCTAAGTACAAACAAGAAATTTATTTTACATATCCCTGCATCCTTCAGATCTGAGAAAGTGTAAATATAAGCATTATATGTTATAAAATGATTCCCAAGCAGAAATTTTTGTCCCACCAAAGAAATTATGATCAGTAGGGCAGTTCTTGTGAGCTTTTTCAATAAAGAAATCATCAATCTGATAACTGTTTGAATAAAATCTTATATGCAGACAAGAGAGAAACTGAATATCCTCAAAAGATTATTCTAATCCCTCAATTCTATGAGTCCAAAAACAGTACACAAATGATGTTACTGTTCAATTCCTCTGTTTCACTATATATCACTGGGATTTCCACTCCTTATCACCAAAACTCAAGAGTTCCTAGAAAACAAAGAACAATCAGTGTTTGCTGAGCAATCAGTCATGTGACAGATTCCAAGTTTGCCAAAAAGAGAAGACTCCCATGGAATCTTCCCATTCACTGCATTAGGGATGACAGGACTTGTCTACATACATTATTCTTAGGACCTTACAAGAACTGGAGGGAGATGCCAGATTTCTTCAAGTTATGAATTATAATATCTAGCTGATCTTTGCTGAAGGGGCTGCTGAGGTCAGTGAACACTTCAATATGCTTCTTCTCAAACTTCTTTCCTCTGAGAGAGAGAGAGAGAGAGAGAGAGAGAGATATCACATTAAGAAATCATTCTTAGTTATATTCTACAAACTCAAATATATTTGGTCACTGAGCAGAGTTTGTGTGTTCAAAGACATACGTCTTCACTGCACAATAATTAAATAAATAATGAATCAGGAAATTGGTCAGAGTTACTACCTAATATCAGTTACTTAGGGATTATACACCACTTGGTATTTTTATCTTTTTATTTTATTTTATTTGTTTCATTTTGTTTTTGTGGTGCTGGGGAATCAAACCCAGTACCTTGCATATGCTAGGTAAGTATTCTATCACTAAACTATATCGTTAGCCCCCACTTAGTATTTTTTAAAATTCCTGGTAATTAAGTAAAAAGGAAATTGAAATACATCAAGTGTTTGTTTCCCCTAAATATAGCCCTTCATCTTTTTAAACTTTTAAAAAGCTGAGATTGAACCACTTTCTATCAAAAGTTCCTTTTGCAACAAAAAACATGCTACCTGATGAATAACAAATCACATGGTGCACTGAATATATATCAACCCATACAATTTTTTGCAAAGGCTCATATCCAGCTTTGAGTGAGGTACTTACACAGTTTCACTCTGAATCACATCCATGCACACAATCAGGGCATCCAGGACTCAGCTAGTTAAGGGTAGAAAGAGCACCAGTCACTTCTTTCCACGAACATGTAACTTTTTTTCTAACAAAGTCCACAGTGCTAGAAATTATACAGTGCACTATGTGAGAACTTACAAGTGCTTGCTCAAATGTCCTTCCTCCAAAATTTATTTTATGAACATATATTCACAAATGCTATACATCAAAATATACATCCTGCATACAGTGTGAAGAAAAGAGATAATCTATTCATTTTTAACTGAAAATTTTGATGCTCTTTATCAATATCTAGAAGTCATTTTTTGTGATCACAGTACATTCTTAAATTAGAAGTAAGCCATAATGTAGTATTTGCAAGTCACTCAACACAGAGCATCTCCCAGTGATCAGGAACGGTACTATTAATTGTTGAGGGAAAAAAACAAAACCAAAAAAAAAAAACACAAACAAACAAAAACCAAGAGTAAGTCCTTAAAATTAGGAAATCTATGGAAGACACTGAAAATCTGAGTTTGGATATCAACTTGATTTTTAGCACAAAAGCACCCTCCATCTAGGAAGCAAGTAGAATGCTAATGCTAACTATTCTAAAACTATCTCTTCTCTACCTGAAACATTTCTAACCAGCATTCCCACCAAAGATAATCATATAATCAATACACACATATACTTCCTAATATCTTCCTTTTCAATGCCTCCTAACTTCTCAGTATCAGTAATGCAGAGAAGGGGCATGTGACTGGAGGACATACAGCCTGGGTAACCAATTTGATTAATTTCACATTAAATCATAACCCACATCCTCCTTCTCCTCAGAACAAAATATGCCTAGATGCACAGAGCCAGGACTCTGAGAGAGCCCCACCAAACTAGATTATGAATCCCCAGATCAACGAAAATTTCTTCAGTCTTCTCTGGTTGAAAAAGGATACAGTCAGCTTGTTGAGAACCTGGTTGGATTCGGCTTTCAATGTCCTCTAGCAAATCAAAATCTGGTAGCATCAGGTGTCTGTGCACTGTGATGTTCTGATACTGGTCCCCAGCAGCAAGGGCATTCTCAGTACCATCTGTACCAAAGAGGACCAAAGCAATCTCATTCTTGCTCTCAGCGAACACCTAGAGAAGAACATCAGAAGGCTGAAAATCATATTAAAACAACCTGGAAGCAATAAGAAACCTAACCTTCAAGATCAGACAATTATACTTCTCTATGGCAGGTCCATGGGGTCACAAACATTAGGCTTGATCAAACATGGGACTTACTGATAATGACAATTACTGGGTTTTAAGTAGATCTTTTAAAATTATTATTATTGATTATAAGTTTCATTTCAGCACAAGTTAGGGTGAAGAAATAGGAAGGTGGTAATGCTCTTAATGTCTTCCAATCAAATCAGAATCTAATTCTTAATGTTAACTAATCATGGATAATTTGAAAAGATTGTAGTCTGTCTTCCTAAAATATTTATTCAAGGTAGGGATTTTCCAGAGATTGGAAAAAAATTTTGCAAGTTCATATTCTATATTCCAGCCATTTCACAGATAGGCATATATACCCTAGAGAAATTCTTGCACATATACATAAGAAGACAATGAACAAGAAAGTTTGCACTTCAGGACAGTTCATAATAAGGAAAAAAACTGCAAACATCCAATCTACCAACAGAACACAAGAATACATTGCAGAATACTTACACAATGAAGTATTATATTAGTAAAAATGAATGAGTTTGTGCAACATTTTATTGATATGAATAAATTTCAAAACCATAAGGCTGAAAATAATTAACTGCAAAATTACATGTGCCATATAAAATCATTTCCATATACTTCTGATGGCTTGATACAACATTATTATTTAGGAATACACGCTTATGTCTAACGCAAACAAAATATGCATGGTCACAACTACCAAAATTCTAAGGAAAGGAACAGAAGAAAAAGAAAAAGCACTAGTAAAGACTTCAACTTCATCTGTAATATAAGGTATATTATTTTATACGAAAAGAAAAAAAATATATAGTAAAGCATTAGGATGGCACAGCATAAGACAATGGGAAAGTGGGTTTGATTATGGTGCTTTTCTCATTTTCCTCTTTTATGAAACACTTCATTATAAAATGAAAAACAGTATCTGATACAAAAGGCAATCCCATCTCCATGGAAGTGTTAATATAAGCCTTTTACATTAATGCAGAGAACTGCTCTATGGGAAGAGAAATTAATTCTATCATTTTTTATTATTGTTTTGCCTGCTAAATTTCCCAAAACAATTCCAACTACAATTCCCAGTTGTACATGAAGCAAAAGTCCCTGCCACTTGGGTTCAAAAATGTCCAGCACATGGCCTGGGCAGGTATCTGCCTCCTAGACAAGAATTCACCTGAAGCTAAGATAATCTTGCTGCAATGACAAAAACTTCAGTTATGGTAGGGGAGAAAATTTTGAAGGAGGTATGAAACTGGTATAGTACCTATATGGCTTTGTCTCTCAACCCTTTAGATTCACTTAGATGGCTTCTCTTAAAACAAAAACAACAGCAATAAAAAACTCTAGGAGCTGAGGGTGTAGCTCTGTGGTAAAGGACATACTTATTAGCATGCACGCAGGTTTACGTTCAATCCCCAGAAGGCAAAAGTAAATATCTTTTACTATATTGAGACACAGCAGTACTACTTGAATATTACCAACACACCTATAACCAAATAGGGTTACAGTGATCTCTTCTTTGACACACCAAGGACTTCAAGTCATCAGAATTTATGAAAATCTAGAATGACAGGTGGGAAGTAGCAGTGCCTCATGCAAATGGCAATACCCAGAAAAATAGCAGAGGTGTCCAGGAGGAGTTGCAGTACCCAGTGCAAGTTCTCATGGACTTAGAAAAACATGGCAGTCATACCAAGTAGAAGGGACAGAAATAATAAGAACTAATAATTTCATATTGTTAACAATAAGCACTTTACCTATATTAATTCTTTTATTCTCAAAACAACTCCATGTGGGAAGTTTTATTATTTTTCTCACTTTTCTCCCCAGACACTGTGGTAGATAGTCCCCAAGACGGTCACCATCCATCCATTCCTTTGCTCCCTGTATTTGCAGGCTATTCCTTATTAAAATAAATGTAATTCTCCATCCTTAAATTTGAGCTGGCCTTGGTGACTTGTTTGACCAATAGAAAACAATGAAACTGGTTTTCTGGGATTTCTAAAGCTAAGTCATAAGAAGCCATATAGGCAGGGTCTTTTAAAATGAATACTTGCTCTTGGATACTACTTCTTAAAACCAGCTGCTACGCTCTTTGCATCCCAAGCTACATAGCGAAGCAGAGGTACTGATGGAGCACACTGAGTTCACAGTTGCCATAAGATTATTTTTCAGACATGTGAGTACGCCACTTTGGACATTCAACCCAGTCAAGTCTTCAGATGATATCCACCCCAGCCTCCAACAAAAGCAACTGTATAAGTCTTAAGAGGGAATAACCTAACAGAGATCATATAATCATCCCATATAACCAGGAATGATAAAAGACTGGGAATGTAGCTCTATGGTAGAGCACCCCTGAATTCAATTCCCAGTATCAAAAAAAAAAAAAAAAAAAAAGGGGGACATAAAGGTTTGGGGTAGTTCGCTACACAGCAAAAGGTAAATGGTACAAAGAAGTTGAAGAACTTGCTCAGGATGATGTGGTTAGTAAATGATATGGCAAAGCAAGGATTCTAAGCCAAGTCACCTGGCCCAGAGGGTGTGTTTTTAAACATTACTTTATACTGCCCTTTGTTTCTGATAAAAACTGTTAATATCCAGTGAAGGGGCCAACAGAAGGGAAAGAAAAAATAGCAGGTTCTAGTGATAAATGAACCTTTATGAGTATAGGTAGGAAATCCACCCAGATTCCCCTAAACACAGAGGGTAGATATTATAAGGTTGGTATCTTGCATTAATAGGTGGAGGCAATGTAGGTTACAAGCTCAAGGTCAATTTGAAACTCACCTGTCGTTGGACAAACATGGTCATCACTTTCTTTGCTTGTTCAAAAGGAGATTCTTCACCAGGACAGGAGTTACTCATAGCAAAGCCCACATCCATACACAGCACAACAGCTGCCTAGAAACAAAGTCCCAAAGAATGTGATACTATAACATTTATAAAAAAAGGATTCTGAGGTTCCTTTCTTATTGCACCCACAGAACCTATACTGGTATTTAGGGGAAGCACAATAAAGGGAAGGGTATGTTCTATAAAGAGAATGCATGTAAGACATATAGCTTCACTTTGGAGAATCCTTAAATAGTTCTAATATTCTCTAAAAGTTAGAAAGTAACTTCCAGGAGAGAGGCATGCTTCAGGCAGCTGACACTCCTTTGGCCTGATCCCAGAAAAAAACCAAGGTGGGAAGATCTAAATCAATCTGCAGGCTATAGTTAAGTCCAGCCCAGCTGATCCCAACATATATCATACAAACTGCAGTTGATCTGCAGTACTACAAGCATTAGTATAGATGCTTTTATTGTTAGTTCCTGAATGGGCAATTTGTCATGAAGCATTTGTGACAATAAGTGACTGCTTCATTCTATGCGTTAGGATGATACACCCCAACAATCTGAATCAGTTTATAAACTGGGGATCAGAAATGAAGACTAAGATATCAAATCTATTCTACTAGAAGGCACAAATACAAATAAATACATGTTAATAAATTAATAAATTTGTAGGTTTGTAGTGGTCATCAAGAGAGAAACAGAAGATATATCCACACAAGACTGGTGGATGGAACAGAGGAGGAACAGAGGTAGAAAAAAACTTCTTCAATCTGACCCTCAGGTGAGTCTTAAAAGAATGAGCAGTCATGAGAACTAGGAAGTTATAGACAGAGGGAACCACATACATGAAGGCAAAACTCATTAGATAGCAATCACATACATAGGGGATTAAACAAATATAAACTAAAAATTAAAGGCATACATATGGGCTGGGGATATAAGGTCAATGGTACAGAGTTTGCCTAGCTAGCAGGGAAGGCCCTGGATTCAAGTCCCAGAACTGCAAAAATAAATAAATAAAAAATAATAATAATAATAATAAAATCAAAATAAAGGGATACATATGATGTTTTACACTCTAGATTTGGCATCCAAAATTTAATTGAATACAAGCTGCAGGAAAACTGAACTAACAGTAACTCATAATTTCAGAGTAGATTATAGAGTCAGGTATGAAACAGTTTTAGCACTACATTCCCATACCCATTTCACTCCATCCCCAAGATATTTTAGGTTGTATCAATAGCATAGTGAAATCTAGAAAGGAAGAGTATTGTGATGAAAAAAGCAATACAAGTAGTCCATCTCTACTGCTAATGAGCTATGAATCCTTAGGAATGTCACTTAACTTTGCTGTTAATTGAAGGAGAGAGGACAACTATTGGACTAGATGAACTTTGTTTCCAGAGATTACATTCTTTCTAGTCTCACCTGTGCTTTTTTCACTGATCAAAGTGTGAGCAATTCTGGGTATCACATCTTAAGAGGACAACTAATTACAACTGAACATGAAATGAGGTTAGGGAAGGATCTGGAGAATATGTGACATAAAGAACATTTGGGGAAAAGCTAGATATTTGAGTCAGATGAGAAGATTAAGGGGAACATGAGAATTTCCTCCTAAATATTTGGCAGCTGTGTTATAAAATGATTGGTCTGTGGGACAGATAGTAGACTCAACAGATGGAAGTTAGAGAGATTGATTTGACTTCTTATAAAGGGAAAAAAAATAACAATTTAGAAGTGATCAATAAAGGAAACTCCGTTTCTTGAAGCAGTGATTTCCTGACCCTAGAAGTGTTTTAAAAAACCTGGATAAGCTCCTATCAGAAGTTACAGATGATTTCTAAATTTGGTTACACCTTTGGCAACAATTTAAAATTAAATTTAAAAACTATTTTCCCCTAATTTATATAGAATTGAACATAATGCACTAATATTAAGAAACTTCTGGAGTAAAGATAATTTATTTGGGGGGTAGGTAGTAATGAACTACAGAATTTCTCTGAGAGCAATAAAATTTACAACCCATAGTTTTAATGCCCTAAGCCTAAAAATCTAAAGACACTTAAAAGTCACAAAATATGCTGCTGCATTTATTTAACACATGTTCACAAAAGCTACCTTTAAACTATAAAACACTTAAAGGACTAAAGGTCTTTTGCCAGGAATCAGATATCCAGAAAATAGCATCACAGTTTCATATTATGGAATTTGACTGGAAGAATGGTCTACATGGTATTTTGAGTTCCCTTCTGGAAGCAGTTAAAAAAAAAAAAACAGGAAAGAGAAATGGAGCAACATAGCAACTCTTCATTTCTACACTAAAGCAATACAGGCTGTTAGGATTTTACTCCAAGTTCATCTGCCACAAACAGCTCCTCCCCTGGAGGTAAGAAGTTTTCAGCAGCTGAAAGAAGAATAAGAGAGGTAAACACCTTCATAATTGTTTGATCAACATTTCCCAGCAGGAAGTTGAGGGGTCTAGAGAGTTATTCAAACTCCTATCTCATTTATCTGTATTAAATGTATGCATGGATGGATGGATGGATGGATGGATGAATCCCTGGAATCACACCTCCCTCTAGTGACCCCAAAATCACTTTAGAATCAATTGTAATTTCTGTTCTTAATCCAGGACACCAAGGATCATAGATTACTAGAAACACAAGACTCTCCAGGACTCTGAAAAAAAGCCTGGTTTCAAAACTGAATTCCACCACTTATGGACAGAATGATAATGGAATAATTACTTTATTTCTTTGCCATTTTCCCACTTGCAAACGGGGGAATAACAGTTTTCACATCACGAGGTTGTTGTGAAAATTAAATGAGACAAGAATAAAAGGTACATCACAATGAGTAAGCTTTCAATAAACTCTAGATATTACACTATTATGGAGGTAATTATACAACACTACATTTCAAGTTATTTTACTCACAAAAACCCTCTTTGCAGTTTTACAGGTCTGTGGGACAGGTGCTTATCCTGGCTAACTTCCATTTTTATAAAGACTTTTAAGAACTCAGGCTCAGCAGCAACAAAGAGGAGGTAGGGTAGGAGCTGGAGTGGGATTCAGGGAAGGGGTGGGAGGAAAGCAGGATGAGAAGTGGGTGGGAGAGGAGGGAAAGGGGAGGGGGTGACGAGTGAGCGAGACTCAAATTCAGAACTCCAAATCCTCAGCTTTCCTCCTCGGGCTTCCCTCGGTCCGGCTGTCCTGCTCCAGCCCATCACCATGGTCTTCCCTCATCCCCGCCAGCTGCCTAGAAATACGAGGGCCTCAGCCCAAGGTTCCCGCTACCTTATTTCCGGACCACGCCATGTTGCCGGTCTGCAAGAGCGTCGGACACCTCTCCGGGTGGGAACCTTCAGCACTGCGACTCAGTTCCGGCGGGATGGCAAGCCTCCAACCTGCGAGCCGCTTCCGGCTGTGACCGCAAGGGGCGGGGAAACCGTGTTCCTGACTCTGAGCAGGCGCAGATTCCTTCCATTTCTCCCTGTGAGGAGTGTGTGGTCCTTGAGTTCTTAAAAATGCTAGTTCTGGGTTAGTACTTACAGAATTTTCCAAAAGATTCACTTCCCTTTGCTCTCATTAACAAGATACACCCTGCAGCGTTTTATGTCCGCCCTTTGGAGTTAGATTCCATTAAGTATGACACCAGAAAGTCACTTTCAGCCCTTCTAAAAGTCTAGTTTCTTCTTCTAAAAGGGATGCTAATGAAAAACTTTACAGGTCCGATGACCTTAGAACCAACTCCTAAAAGAAGAATAGGAGTTTTCCAGGCAAACAAAAGTGAAAAGGAGCCCGATGCAGTGGGTTATGCCTGTAATCCCAGCGGCTCGGGAAGCTGAGGCAGGAGGATCATGAGTTCAAAGCCAGCCTCAGCAAAGGAGAGGCCCTCTCCCTAAATAAAATAAAATACAATGCAAAGTAGAGCTGGGGATGTGGCTCAGTGGTTGAGTGGCCTGAGCTCAATCCCCTGTACCCCTCTCCTCCCCAAAAAAAGTAGAAAGGACATTGTACTTTGCAGAGAAAATGGGATTGTAAACACCTGGAGGCATGAAACAGTGTATGGCAATGGCTTGGAAAGGAGGAGGGGAAATTTAATTTAAAAGTGAGTCTAGGGAGATATTACAAAAACGGCAGCCATCAATTTCACTGCTTGATATGCTCACCAACCCTTTCAAGGAAATTCTGTAACCCCTCAACCCATGCCCCTCTGAGGAGCCTTCTACAGAAATAGGGTGTTTTTATACCACAAGCTACAGGTGACCGGACAAAGGGTCCAGCAATTTGCAAAGTGTCTCCACACCTCTGCCCAATCTAGCAAAATGAGTCTATTAGGATTCTTTCCCTCTTGAAAGCTGGGCCTAGAAAAAGCAGGGATTAGAGCTGAAAAGACAGGCAGAATTCATGAAGAGGGAACCCTGGTCCTTGAGGGAGACAAAATTAAGAATATATTGGAGCCAAGAGATCCAGACACTCTCAGACCACACTTATACAGCCCAGGAGGTTCTTCTTGCTTTTGATTTAAATTTTAAAAGTTCTTTCAAAGCCGAAATATTATTTTTAATAGTAGTTTTACTGTGGTTGGTAAATATAATTATTGGACACTCATCACAGTGAAGGAAATGTGCTTACTTTATGTTTATAATTTCATCTTGTATATAGTCTCTTTTTCCTTTTCTTCTCTCTCCTCTCTTTTTCCCCTCTTTCTCCTCCTCTCTTTTCCCCACCACCCACACACTCCAGTACAGGTCTAGTTCCTGGGAAAAATGAGAGGTTCTAGTAGCTGTGCTTGTTTGCATCTCAGCCATCTTTATGGGCAGCCGTGGTGCTGAGACTGGATATGGATTTTTAAGCATTGCTTACCCTGGCAAAAAGCCTTCATTAATCAAGAGTGAGAGGGCAAATATTAATGTGTCACAAAACAAGGGGATTATGGCTTTTTAAAAATTTCATTTGTACCTGCCAGTACAAAATTCTTTTGGATTTTTATGATATAGAGTCGGGTGTAAAGAGGTAGGTAACAGATTGATGGGCTAGTATCGATAATGATATATGTATTATGGATGTTGAAAAGAGAGAGACGTATGGGAGCCACTGTGGCATATTGAAGAAAATGGATACAACAGGAAAGGGGGATGACAGGGTCTTATTTTGGTAGCCCTCAGGAGCCGTGCCTTCCAGCCTTCACACCCCAAACTAGTCACTTATTCTTGAATGTGTACTGGCCTCATGTCCAGTAAAGTGTGGCAGGAGTGACAGTGGTCCAATTCTGGGTCAAAGATTTCAGAATACTTGGCGGATTTGGCTTTTGCATGTTGATGAAGCCAGACATCACATATGAAGACTGACTACCAAACCGTGAAAGCCCAACAGACACATGGAGGAGACTTGTTATGAATAAAATGTTTATGTCTCCTCAAAATTATTTTATTGAAGTCCTACTCCCTAATATGGTAATATTTGGAGTTGGGGCCTTTGGGAGATGATCTAGATGAAGTTATAAGAATGGGGCCCTCATCATGGTATTAATGCCCTTATAAGACACTACACTAGGGGCTGGAGTTGGGGCTCAGTGCCTAGCCTGCGCGAGGCACTGGGTTCGATCCCCGGCACCACATAAAAATAAAAACAAATAAAATAAAGGTATTGTGTCCATCTACAACTAAAAAAAAAATTCTAAAAAAGACACTAGAGAGCTTGTTCCCCCCCCCCCCCCCTCCCCCAATCTCTCCCTTCCCATTGGATGCGTTCACTCAAAGTAAAGGTCATATGAGCACGTAGTGAAAAGGCAGCCCCCTGCAACCCAAAAAGACACCCCTCACTAGAAACTAACCATGCTGGCACATGATCTTGGACTTCTAGCCTCTAGAACTGTGAGAAAACACATTTGTGTACACCTTGTCTATGTTAATTTATGGCAGCCAAAGCAGACTAACTCAAGCACCAAGCACCAATAGCCTCAGGGTTACATTTTGATGGCATCCAGCATCTACCTGGCATGCCAATGTGGCTACCTGGGGTGTAAAACTTGAGCCCCTAGGGAACAATCCCAGAATTAGAAATGTTGAGCAGAGACTAGTCATCTCCACTGAACTCTGTCCAAATTGCAGGATTTTGAGCAAATGGTTGTTATTTTAATCTACTATATTTTAAGTGTTAACAATAGTAATAAATAACTGAAAAAATAGAAATCTTTTAAAAAATATTGCTGGATTTTGGACTATGTGTGCCCTTCAGGGTAGTTAAATGTTTTATTTATTTTGAAATTTCTATTTAAGTTACTGGAATATTTTTGAATTTGACATCGCTCTGCAAGTGAACTATGTGAATGATGACTTCATGAGCATTATAAAAAGCAAATATAGGGCTAGAGTTGTGGCTTAGTGGTAGAGCACTCACCTACCATGGGTGATGCACTGGGTTTGATCCTCAGCACCATATAAAGATAAATAAATAAAGGTACTGTGTCCACCTACAACTAAAACATTTTTTTTAAAAGAAAAAAAGCAAATATGTGCAGCCTTTGTGCTTTGACAGAGAGCTGTGATTATGATTATATAGACAATTGGGAAAATTAGTTAAAATCTTAACAGGTTATAGATATGAAATAAAATTTTATATCCAAAATAAATGTGAATAGTAATGATTCCATGTTGTACCACGTCCATCAGATTCCATTCAAAATTCACATAAAAAGGTTCATGTTAGTAATTAGATTAATCAAGGCAAGAAAAAGAAACCTTTTGATATTGGCCACTAATCTTGTTTTGTTTTGTTTTTTGATATCTGAGGATTGAATACAGGGGGTACTTAACCACTAAGCCACACCCCCAGACATTCTCATCTTTCATTTTGAGACAGGGTGTTATAGTTTAGATGTGATGTCCCCCAAAACTCATGTGTGAGAGACAATGAAAGAAGGTTTGGAGGAGAAATGATTGGTTGTAAGAGCCTTAACCCAATCAGTAATTTAATTCCCTGATAGGGATTAACTGAGTAGTAACTGAAGAGGTAGGGTGTGGCTGGAGGAGGTGGAATTGGGGTGTGGCTTTGGGGTATTTATTTGTGTCTGGTAAGTAGAGTCTCTCTCTGCTTCCTGATAAGGATGATATGAACTGCTTCCCTCTGCCTCACCTTGAGCCTGAGGAATGGAGCCAAACTTCTATGGTCTAAGATCTCTGAAACCATGAGTCCTCAAATAAATTTTTCCTACTCTAAAATTGTTCCAGTCAGGTCTTTTAGCTACAGTGGGGGAAAACTTACTAAAACACAGGGTCTCAATGAGTTGCTTAGGGCCTTGCTAAATTGCTGAGGCTGACTTTGAACTTATGATCTGCCTGCCTCAGCCTCCCAAATCAATGGGATTACAGGTGTGATCACCAAACCCTGAAGTTGCTAATTTTTTTCAACACTGTAAAAGTCAACGTCTGCGTGACCATTCCAAAATGACAGAATCAAACTTTCAATGCAACTGAAATTAGTTCTTTTAAAGATATAGAATCTCATTTCATAGGAACAAGGGTTTAGTCCCCTCAGACATAAACTGAAATGAAAGGGTGCCACCTAATGGTAACAGACAAGATGACTTGGAAGCATCAGGATCACCATACTGGGTCTGACATGGTTAATTCAACTCTGCATATTATGGCTGCTAAGCAACTTAAAATATGTTCCTCATCTTCAATATCTACCATGAAGATTAGGCAACTATAAGCTAAGAAATTATTCAAATGTAATATCTAACTGCAATTTCTTCTGTAATGTTCTCTAGGTGTTTACTGAGAGCAAGGTTTTCTTCTGTTGCTTTAGTTCTGTTTGGTTCAGTTTTCCTTCCTCTAGTCTAAGCATTTACATACCACTTTAGAGCCCTTTTGAAATAATTTTAGTGTACGAGCCTGAGCCTATCTCTTCCAATAGGTGATAAGCCCAATTAGAGTGAAGGCCCTGTCAGCTTCATCTAGGTATCCTTTGGGCATAGTCTCACTCTCACCCCATACTTCCATTCTACTATGTCCACTTTTTCCACTAATGTCCACTATGTCATGACTTTTTGTGTCCTTGACATTGATTTTCTCAACTAACATGACAGAAAAATGCAACAAATATAGTTGCAATATTTTAATGTGGGCTTAGATAAAAAGCATGACTTATGTTAACAGTTCACTTAAGTAGAACCCCCCATGAATTAATGGTGCACCTGTGTCAATGTGAAAGGATTCATCCTGAAATCACTACATATATATAGGACAGCCCCAGGCTCACCCTTTATCTGCAAACTGTAGCATTCAAAGCTATCTCAGAGAGCTCAAAGATAAATTGAACAAATGTTAATCACATTTCACTTTTTTATTTTCTTTATCTGCATTTCAATTGTTCATATCTCTGCAAATACACCAGAAAGCACCAAGATTATCTTCAAAAATGCTGGGCACATTTTTTTTCCCTCTAGTCAAACTAATGACAGTTGAATAAAAAGAAAGAAGATTTCTTCTGAAGGTGGAGTTCAGCACCATACATTAAGCAAACGTTCCTGGCTTTCTGTGGAAAGCATGGCTTATACCTCTGGTTTAGGTCACAGCAGTTCTTTCAACAGCTTCTTTCCAAGACAGAAACAAAAAGAAGCACCGGCTTTTCTTGTAAGGATCCAAACTTCCAAAATCTGCTGACCTCTTTGGGCTTTGATATTTTAAAATTAAAAAGACACCTTTGATTTTTTAAAATTCAGAATCTTTTTCATCTGGTTTAATCTAATATACACCCTCAGGCCATGAAGACAAACTTCTTAGCATAGAAAACACCATGTTTGTTGTTAAACTAGAAAGATCTGAGTGAGTAAGGCTCTGAGTGAGGTTCTGCCAAACCACAGAAGGCTAAATCTGGCTTCTTCATGTTTAGGGATAATGATCCCTGCTGGGGGAATGTTTGTGAGGCACAATCCCTCCCTTCTCAGTCTTTATTGATTAAATATCACCAACCCCCTGTTTCACCTCCACCACCAGGAAGAAGAGTTATGCTACCATTATGTAATTGTATTATCCTATCCACTATTGCTTTAAAAAAAAAAAAAAAAGCCCTGAAACCACACATTTCAGAAGTTTAGTTACAAACTAGAAGCTAATACTGATGAATAATGGATAGCATATATGTAGTGTACATAGCTCATCTCTATGCATAAATTCTGTGTAAGATTCAAGCCAAAATAAATAAATAAATGAATAAATAAATAAATAAAACTGTATTAGTAGTTTGGGATTCTGAATTTAAATAGTTATCACAAGGTGGAGATTCCTTCTTGCCTACCAAAATAGTCATTCTTCCCTTTTTTCCCTCAAATTAACATAACACCAATATTTAGCTAAGAATATAACTACCTAGACAAAAGACTACATTTCCTAGCTTCTTTTGCTCATGATGTCATGTGACTAAGGTCTGGCCAGTCAGATATAAAAATGTTGAGAGGGGGTTCTTCTGGGAAGTCTCCTTAAACAGAAGGGTATGCTCTTCTTCACTCCTTCTTCTGTTTATCCAGAAACATGGAATGTGATGGCTAAAGACATAGTCAGCACTGGAATATTGAGGATAACAGTAATAAGGGCCATGTCCTGCTAATGGTACAGGAAAAGAAGAAACCTGGGGTACCAATGACTTCACAGGATCGTGGAATTGTTTGCCTCCTAACTTCTATACAAGAAGTAAACTAATGACCGATATTTTAGGACTTTAATTTTAATCAGTCCAATCTAAACCTAAGTGATTCACACAAATCACTACTTTCTATTATGCATAGCAGCCCAGCACTTCAAACGTTTCACTCCATCTCTGTCAATTTTCTCGGAGGACTTGGCCACCCCTGAGCTTCTTTATTTTCCCTGTCACATTGAGTCACAAAGTCTCCTGGGTTACAGCACCAGTAACAACTTCAAGCTTCTGGATTGATATACAGTGGAATTCCCTATCCAAGACAAGTGGTCATTTTAGGGCAAGGAATTAAGAAGAGCTGATTCACTGTGTAGACTACTACTTTGGCACAGTTGCTTTTCTGTTGTCTGCCTTCCGGGAACCATCAAGATGGTAGTGAAGATCAGTGTGGGCTAAGATTTTTTAGAACTGTAGGGGACAGGGGATAATTTGAAGAAAGAATCTACTGGAATTGTAAGATGATATATATAGGCTACTGGATCCAGAGAAGGAAGGAAGTTGCTGGCAGTTTAGACAGTAGAAGTTTCTACATCCTGGGTAGAATCCTTGTTGGAGAGATTGCCTGAGATATTGTCAGATTCAAGCAGCTCCACGATGCTGTAGGGAGAACAGTCTTCCAGACCCAGCTTGCTGCACAGCCAGCCACAGAAGCCTTTCTCCATGTCCCGGGCAGCTTGCCACCAGGCCCCCCAGGACCACGAGAGCTGGACCACAGCAGCATAGAGGCCCAGAGAAGAGGCCATGGCCATGATGAGCACTGGATAGAAGAGAATGAGGCAGGGGCAGCAGGAGATCTTGTGCCAGAAGGTCCTCTCCTCATTGTACACAAGGAAGATGTTGTACCAGGTGATAGTGCCATAGTAGAAAGAGACAACAAAAGAGAGGACAAAGACCACGGGCAGGCAGACCAGAGTCCAAAGGACCACGTGAGGCCCCCGGTCTGCTCCCATCTGGCATGCCTTTCTCCCTTCAGGTGCCATTTCCTTTGAGGACTCTTTGGGTTTGGTCAATTCCTGCAGCTCCTTCTCGGTCAATGTGACATGAATGTCTACCATTTGACCCTTCTTCTTCCCTCGTGTGATGGTCCCTGTTAAGGTGACATAGCGACTGTCGAAAGGCATGTTCCACATACCTGTAGGGCACAAAGGAGGTGAGCGTCAAGATCTGAAGAGTGGACTTTCATCAGGGTGTATCCCCTGAGGCTGGGCCCACTACGAGACGTCTTTTTATAGCATCTGACATAGTAGTAGAGTCAGGGATTCAGTAGTAGACTGAATAGTCTCCCTTGGAGGGTGACCACTGCTATTGTCACTCCATAGCATGAGCTTTCTCTCCATTTCTGAGCCCTGATAAAATGTGAGACAGTTCTCCCTCCATTTCTCTGGACCTCAGTGTTGACATGACTTTTGTGACATAGAGTAGAGTGAGGAATTTTACTACAGATAACACTTTAATGATCCTATTTCAAGTTAAGAAGTTCTGTTAAAATATCATTTATGAGTATCACTCTGGGTGTGTAAAGATCATTGCAATCAGCTTATATATAGCCCATGACCCTTCCTTTCTCATGCCTAACTTTACACTTCCCTGAGAGGGGACCTTTTCATATGCCTGTGGGCATCCCAGCCTTCATATTTAAGCTCTATTCACATACTTACCCACCCCCCACACCACACCACTCACACCCACCAGACACCCCACCCCAGTCCTGTAAGTACCTCCAAACCCCACATCACACAACATATAGATACCATACCCTCCACTTTACCACACATACCCACGATATGCACACACATACACTCTCCCCACTTATACACCCACATACCACACACATATGCCATGCACACCACACCACATATATACCCCCCATGTGGGAGACCAACCTTGCAAGTGACTGAGTTAACTCCCCTGCTGGGTGATGTGGCAGTCAGGCACCCATGCTGCTGGACTGCCCCACTCTTCTAGGGTTTGAGTGACTGTGCTCGGGTGTGGCTTCCTACAGCCCTATGGGTGGAGCTATCTATGCTCACCTGTTCCTTTAGGGTAGAATCTTCCATGGAAGTGTCTTGTGTGTGTCCCCTTCTCTTACTGTGCCCTTGGGTGTGGCCTACCTAGATGTCAGTCAACCTGCTGACAGTGGACATCATGAAGATAGACTCAGTCCCCTGACACCTGACCCCTTGCCTCATTTGAATAGCTTCTCCTCAATAAAAGGGGTCAGCGCGTGCTTTCTCTCCCTCTTCCTGCGGACCCTTAAGGTCAGAGGAGCCGTCACAACGACCCCAAAGAAAAAAGGTATTTGTGACTCGTGTGGTTATTTTGCACAGCCCAGTTAGCCCAGTTTACCTGGAGTGACCCCTGAGCCTTTTAGTCACAAGAACAGAAACCCGGCACCCCCAAACATCCACACCCTCCATTCATATAGTACACATGCACACACACATACACACATACACACACAGGCAATCACAAAATAGCTGTCCTTTGACCACCCTTGAAAAGGGATGAGAGATACTAAGAAGGGAAGTCTGTGGCCTTTGGTATGTAAAAGGTAGTCTAAAAATGTGGGGGAGGATTGAGGACTATAGGCTTAGATAGATGTGTTCCCTGGGCCCTTTGACTAGAAGACTTTACCCCATGGGTGGGAAAGAGATAGAAGAAAGCCACCTAAGAGCAGGACTCAGGAGTAGCAAGGGCTATGATTGACCTAGAAGGGATGTACTGTTCCCCTAAACCTAATGGTTTCACAGTCTCCTTTATCTTGGCAAATAAAACCATCATTCCATTGTTCTTTTCAAACACCTAGGAGTCATTGCTAATCCTCCCTTTTCCCTTATGTCCTGCCTCCAATCTGTCAGCACATACCACATTATATTCTGAATCTAATACCTCTTCCTCTCTGGCACTCTCTCTCCTATCACTGTACTTCAAGCTTCTGCATTAGCATTATTGTGTTTGCAATGTCTAAAATTCTCCCATCAGTTTCCATTCCTACTCTTTGCAATCCAGTCCTTATAGACAAGCCAGGGTGATCTTAAACTATGAATGAGATAATGTGTGTCCCTTGTTTAAAAGTCCTCCATTCACTTTCCCTTGCACTTATAACAACTTCCAAACCCTTTTCTGTAGACCTGCAAGACCTGCAACGGTGACGTATCTGACCCCTGCCCCACTTTCTGACATCTTTTCAACATCCTTCCCCTTGTCCTCTACACTCCTAAACAGAAACCACTCCATTCTATAAATGGGCCAGGGTTGCCCTCAAGGCCTTTGCCCTTGCTGTTCTCTCTCCTTCAAAAGCTCTGCCCCATGTCTTTTCTCAACTGGCTCTTTCATGTCATTTTGAATTTGCTCAAAATGTCACTTCTTCAGAGAGACCTTCCATGACCACACAATCTCTTGCCTTATCACCCTGAAACAGGACTCTTCTTTCTATCATGGTTTTACTGTCTTTGCAACGCATACCACTACCTGAAATTATCTTTTATTGGTTGACTTATTCATTGTTTGCCTTCTCCTAACTAGAAGGTCAACTCCGTGAGAGCCAGGCTACTGCTTTGACTTATTCTGTAAGTGTGCGTCCTGGATATCTATCCCTCTACACAAACAGATCTATCTCATCCTTCCAGTGCTGCCCAGTTATTCCTAATACAGACACTCCACAGTTCCATTAGTAGCAGCAAATATTCTTATACATGCTTTTTTACATATGCAGAACATGGGTATTGTGAGTGCTGGGGCTGCAGCTCAGTGGCAGAGTGCTTGCCTAGCATGCTGAGTGAGGCATTGGGTTTGATCCTCAGCACCATATAAAAGAATTAACAAATAAAATAAAGGCATTCTGTCCATCTACAACTACAAAAAATTAAAATAAGAAAAAAGATATACTGTGGATTCCTGGGACATAGGGTATATATATATATATATATATTTTGAATTTTAATAAATATCAACAAATTCACTACGAAGTGGGAAGTTTCCACTTTTACTTAAAATGTAATTTCCTCACATTGATATTATTATACTTAAACACATTTTTGGCAATCCTACAAATGAAGGAATATTTTATCTCACTGATGTAATAATTTCCTTTTTCCTGATTATCGTGAAAATCAATAATTTGTTGACTTTATTATACATACATTAAATAATTATCATGGTCTGCTTGTGTTATTGAATTTTGCACACAAATCAGCTTTTTCCACTATACTAGGAGTTCAGAGAGTGTAAGATCTCCTCCATCCCACCTAGAATAGAAAATTATAGGTTCTAAGTAGTACTATCAATTGCTGAATGAGACTGCAACCCTGGGAGAAATGTACCACCAAGAAGAAATATAGACAGATGAGGTCCCCCTCTTTGGTTCCCTTCCCATGGCTTTCAACAAGGGGTCCCAGAGAGACTCACCATCATCTACGGGATAGTCTAGGAAATCATCTCCCTCTTCCTCTTTAGGCCGATCTCCACCTTCTGAATCTTCAGGCTCATCATCCATTTTCTCATTATCTGACCGGTAGATGATGATAGATTCTGGGCGGGATTCTTTCCTCTTCTTTTTCCTGCGACCCATTGTAGATTCCCCATCTAGGGCCAGAGCAGCAGCCACAGCCCTCCTCAGAGAGCCCTGGTGGGGGCTTGGGAGTTGGTCCGGGCCTTCCAGTGGTGCCGGCTCTTCCATACCAGTCCTTATGTTTAGTTGTACCTTATAAAGAGCGTGACTTGCTTGAGCAAGCTCACAATCCACACATCACAGAGCTTCTTTCTGGAGAGGACTATGCAAAGTTGTCCCAAGGATGTCTGTCACCTGAAAGACAGGAAAGCAAAGCCATCAACAAGGAGCAAATCGGATAGCATAGAGAAGGCCTTGGGAAATCATCCCCAACTTGGCAAAAGCCTTCCCCTCTCTTTATTTCTTATAATTATTTTGGGAGCCCAGAGAAAATATTCTTATAAGAATAGATAGTAAATAAAATTTTGTGTTACAATATTATTATTGTCATTTATATAAATGTATAGTATTACAAAAAACTCACAGTCCCACTGAGAAGTGCAGAGTATGAAGTCACTGAGGAAGATATACAGGCAGATGGGGGTTTTAAATCAATATGCTCCCACCGTAGATGGAGACTGAGATGGCTGAGACCAGTGCTCTGGACTTCTGGCTATGAAGTCACACATTACAACTACATGCAAGTAAATCAGAGCAACTCTGAATGAACCCCAAAACGGTGCAACATCACCAACTGCATCTACCTTGCTATTCTGTAAAGGAAACCCATCTCTTGGCTTCTTCTTGGCCCAAGCCCTCAGAAAACTGCAGAAATATGTCCTACTGCATGCTGGGAATAGCAGGGGGGAAGATTCACTTCCACTCTCAACATTCCATCTTCTCTTTGTTCTCCAGGTAAACAGAGGCAAGGAGAATCTATCTTTTAGGGAAGATGCTGTGTTCATGGTGTACGGTTCATGTGTGCAAAATATCCTTGGGCTTATTTTGAATTTCTACAGGAAAATTAAGGAATCTTACCTGGAGTTTGACATTTTAGGCCAAGGCACACAAAGAAAATTTAGAAGACTGAGGAACTCTGATTCTTAAATTCAGATGATCTCCCAGGAAGTCGTTGGGTTTTGGAATTCCTTTTGGTTGAGATATCTAAGAGCATAAAGGTGTATGCAGGGAGAGTCAGGAAAGAGGGACTGCACAAGATAAATATCCCCAAAGGACAACGAACCCAGTCAAGAGAGCACTGAGTACGTTGGAGCATTAATAATCTCAGCCAAGGCTCATCACCAAAGTAGTCTCAATACAGAAAAATGAACATCTACTGAGAAGGGATATGGAGGGGCTGGGGATGTGACTCAAGCAGTAGCGCGCTCACCTGGCATGCATGCGGCCCGGGTTCAATCCTCGGCACCACATACAAACAAAGATGTTGTGTCTGCTGAAAACTAAAAAATAAATATTAAAAAAAAAAAAAAAAGAGAAGGGATATGGAGGCTGGGAGGACGTGGTCCTCTCCAAGGTTAAGATTTTCAAGTTTCCTTCTTTAAAAACTCATATCAACTTTAAATTCTACTCTGTAAATATCTATGTATAATACAAAAATGCTTTCCCTAGTTCAAGTCTTCTAGGAAAATTGAAGGAAAGCTGAATCATGGTGATCCTATAATAGGAGTTACCTCTGACCAAGCCACTTTATACCTACCTTAAGAGTACAGCTATCACAGCCTCAGGGCCTATCCTCTGATCCACAGTGTTTTCATGACTTAGAGCTTCTGCTTTGCTCTGTAGTTTCCTTCCCTGGTCCTTGTGTGCTGGGTGAAACTAGGGTTTGGAAGTGAGAACTCAAGCAGATTCAAGAGCTGCAGAGCTGGGACAAAGTTTGTCTTCTTTCTGTATCCCATCCCTTCTTTTAAGATGTGCCAAGATGTTCAGAGAGGGAGGTCATAATTCCAAAGAGTGTGGTGAGTAGGCAAATTGCAAATCTCATATTTCTTGTTCTCTTGGGAGATGTGGGGCAAAGTAAACACATGCCCAGAGATGACAACCATTGTAGATGAGCTTTATACACAGGAAAATGTGCAGGGTTCTCCTGACTTGGATAGTCATAATAGGAAAGGACAATGTTAGATACAGAAAGAACTTCCTGAGTCCAAGGATGGAAAAAAATACAGAAAAATAAAAGCTAAGAGAAGATTTTGAGACTCTAGGCAGTGTATAAACAAATATAACCATCTTGTCAAATTATGGTGGGGGGCAGTCCTATCTAAAGGAAAGGAGAAAGATGACTTTTGAAGATGCTATTCAGACATTTGGATTGGGCATAGTGGTACATGCCTGTAATCTCAGCTACTTGGGAGGCTGAGGCAGGAAGATTACAAGTTGGAAACCATCTTGGACAACTCAAAGAGACCTTGTTTCAAAATGAAAAATTTCAAAAGGGCTTTGGTGATAGAATGGTTCCCTTGTGTGTGTGAGACCCTGGTTTCAATCCCCAGAAACACCAAAAGAAAATTTGATAAATATGATGAAATATGAAGTGATAAACTCCTGGTAATTCTCTATAGGGCACCATTCTTTGCTTCAGACACAGCTCTTTTTAAACAAGTAAGCTTGGCCAGTGTCAGTTCACCAAACAGACACTATCCCCCATTCACCTGGAAACATGGTTCCCAATCTCCCTTCAATCAGAACATGACTTTTGAGAATACAAAAATTTCCCACACATGAGGAAAGGCTGAGCTATTTTGTAACCATGGTAAAATGCAGTCATTTGAACCAGTTTAAACCTGATCAGTGGATCAACAAATTCTCTCAGTCTTATAGAGGCTGCTATAACAGCATGGGCTATTTATAACCTTTAGACTAGGAAATTTAAGAAACACAGAAATTTACTTCTCACAGTTCTGGAAGCTAGTAAGTCCCAGATATGGGTAGCAGCAGGTTAGGTGTCTAAGAGGGTTCATTTTCTGGTTCACAAATGTTTTCTTCTCACAATGTCCTTCCATGGTGGAAAAGGCTGTGTAATTGTCCTTGGGCCTCTTTTATAAGTAACCATCAATTAATATTCTCCCAAAGATTTGATCCCATTTTCTAATGCCATCACGGTGGGGGTTAGGATTTTAGCAAATGGATTTTGGGAGGAAACAAACATTCAGACCATAGTACTCCATGAAGATGCCTTTGGAAATCAATCTACCAATCAAGTCATCATTTCTAAAAGAACATCAGGTGACTTTCAGTTAAAAGGAGCTGGCATTGACAAGCTAGCTTTCAAAAGCATGTTCACTTAGGTCATTATTGATTGCACAGGTTTAAAACTAGTACTGGTATCTACTTGGTATGGCACCATAGCTAAAGAACAAACTGTCTTTTCTCAAATTTGTGGGTACTTTTTATCCAGTTTGCTGTGAGGCTTAATGAGATCAGACATGTTTCAGTAAAATGTATATGGTTAACTGTTGCTGTGGAACAAATTACTCCAAACTTAGAGGCTTAAAACAATACACATTATTACACACACACAATTAGGAGTGTCAGAAAACTGGGCCTTAGTTGGGTGGTAAGTGGTCTTCTCTGCTTGCTTACTGACAAAAATATTTGGAGGTCCAAAGGATTTTTTGTGTTGAAGGGTTTCTGAACCTTACAGTTTTCTGTAATTCTCTGTGACAGGAGCTGTTCTAAGTGCTTTACGGGAATCATGTTATTTAATCTTCACGTAGATCAATGAAGTAGATACTATGTATCAGTGTACCCATGCAGAGGACTCTGCCCAAGGTTACATGGAAGTAAGTGGTAGGGTTGGGACTCACACCCAGGTTTGCTGATTTCAAAGCTCATGTTCTTTTCACTATGCCATACCACCTGCCAACATTTACCTGAACTTTTAAACTTAAATTTATAGAATTTACTTTGATTAACCCATTTCCTATGTTAAGGATATATTCCTGTATCCCCAATACTAAGCTGTTTCTGAGTCCTGCCAATCATTCCTAGAAAATCTCTTTGTTAATTAATCTGTTCATTTGGATTTCTGTCCCCACCATATACTAAAATGAGGCCCGCCACTGCTTCTTCCAAGCTGTTTTTTCCTTCTTCCACTTCAGAATTCTTCCTTTACTGTTTTAAATGGGGATCAACAGAACACCAGTAGCCATCACTACTATCCAGTAGCAGCCATCACTATCTTGCCACTTCTAACTAAAATGTATCTAAAAGCTCTCCCTGGTGTTCGAGACTCTCCATATTCATGCCCATTTGAATTCAGTAGCAATTCCCCTTCCCTTCAACATGACAGCTAAACATGTCTCCTTATGTTTGTTTTTCACTTCTCTCTTCTTCTCCACCTCTTTCAAGGCTTGCTCAACACAGACTCAGTCCCTCTCCATTACTACCCAGCCCATGTCTCTCCCTCCAGTTCCAGCCTTGTTGAAGGAGTGTGGTGGGAATTCAATGAGAGGTCAAGTCAGATTCCTAGAATGTGACTGATTCTTCTTAACTGTCAATTTTCATTCCTTCTTTTGCCTCTTTCTGCTCTATATTTCAGTAGCACTTCTCACCTGTGTCATACTTTTAATCCTTCATTATGCAGCATTCCTTTCATTTTATTGATTATAGATGGCAACATGAACCTTCATTTATCATCCAACATAGATTATAAACTTCTAGAGATCAGACACTGTCTCACAATTCTTTTTCACCATCAGAGAGACGACCATAGGGCTGGACACGTAGCCAAAAGTCAGTAGTATGTACTTGTTAACAGGGCAGAGAAGGGAAAATGCCTCCTTGGAAATATGACATCAACAACTGTTAGGAGATAACAGTTGAAAACCAAGATGGTGGGTAAGAGGAAGGCAGCAGTCTGTGTCACTCTGTGACCTGGGACTCAAGTAGTGAGAATACTGCTTCTCTGCGAGTGATGCTCCTGCTCCCTCGCAGGAATCATGGTCACCATGCCAGTCCAGGGCTCTAGGCCTCAGTGTCAGAGCAGGTCTCCCAACTACTCAACCATGCAGGACAACCAGATACCAGGGCAGGACCATCAGCATCAGCACCCATGCAGAACTTTTGGCCACCCACCCGAGCAGAAAGCATGAACACTGCTCCCACGAAGGACACCTGGCAGCTTCCCAGGCGCAGGAAGTCTGGCCGCTACTCCCATGTGGAGCCCCATCTGCCCATGTGGTGCTCCCCCAGTCGCTGACATCTTAGGATTCTACAGCAGCAGAGACAGTACCCTATGTGCCTTAGCCTGCCTGTGTCCAAGAACCTCACACAGGCTCTGAAGTCAGCTGACAGCCACATGCTCTGCACCACAGTGCTCCTCTCTGAAATCATCCTGGCTCCTCCCACCTAACCCAACATCCCATCACTGAAAGCAGGCACCTCAATCTTGGGCCACCTTCATCACCATTTTCAGTGGGGGCAACTCCCAGTTTGGAAATCCATCTGGGGTACCCAGTTTTTAACTCCCCCCCTCTCCCCAGCAGCCACTACCCCAACACAGTGATACCCTGGTACCTTTACCATCCTGAGGGTGGACACACCAGCTAACAACAGATGAACCCACCTATTAGATGAGAAGGGAGCAGGAAAGATACTGATCTCCAACTGAAACAATCCCTGTTTCTTCCTTCAAGATTTTTTTTTCCCTCTTCCTCTCTATTCTTCCATTCTCACATTCCCAACACATGTGAAACCAAGTACTTTGCATGAATTATGATTTTGAGGACTGGGACATCTGAATAGTATATTACAGTTGTGTTATATATTTTTTTCTTTATCCTTTTTTCTTTTTTCCACCAATTCCTACTATTTTAACATTTTTTATTTTTCTAAATATATATGTATGTTTGTTTTATGTACTCTATTGTCTTCCTACTTACTTGTCTCCCCAAAATTACTTCCTCTCCCTTCTTCTGCTACTAATCTTCCTCTTTAGATTTCTCTTTCACACTTCCTAAGATATAATAACTCTATATCCTCTCCTCATACCTCCTTGGCATATCATCCTACTCCTCACCCCTGGTTCTTTGTCCAACATCAGAAACTATAAACCCTTTTACAAACCTACTGAGAATATTGTAGATAATAATTGAATTCACCATTTCTGTACATTGTGACCAATCTGTAAACATCTTAATAGCAAACATTTATTTTTGAGGTGCATATTGTTTATACTGAGATCTGTTAACATTGTCCTTCACCTCAAAGGAGAGGTATTTGATCCCTACAGGGGCACTATAAGCTTATAGGGTAAAAATGGTAATGTCTGGGATCCACAGTGCTAGAAGGGAAGACACACAAGCAAT